ATACGTTTTTGAGAGAGAAGTTACCATTACTGCTCACAATAGATAGTAGTCTAAACCTGTGTGTGTTAAGTGGAATATAAATGGAGTGGTTAATGTGTATCACAGCCAGCCATTGTGCACATTCACCAGGCCTCATGGAGAATATACACATAATCCTTCAATGAAGAGGGAACTGTGTACTAGACATAAACTTGCCTTTGGGCAAAGTACACATCTCAGCTGAATTTTGTATATTATCTGGCCCTTATGGATAATTCCCAACAGGCCTTGAGGAACATGCATATCCTGTTTTGTACACTCTGTGCACATACTCCAGTCAGTCTGCAGAGTCTCCAAGAAACGTGCAGTGCAATCACGCCACGATGGGTTAGAATTTTGTTAATTCACCCAAACAATATTAAACTTCAGATGCATTATTCATCTTGCAAAGACTCATCTTGCTATCCCCCTATAACTGGCTTCCCTCTCAATCTGCATTGACCATTCCACCTGGTCATTAATTTTGGAAGAGTTTATCCGTGAATTATCTTTCCTCTCTTTGTCCTTTACATTCATTGTGTTGGTCATATAAGAATTACACTCAACTCATTTCTCTTCCTCTGTAACTCAGGAAGCATCATCACGGATGTCTTTGCAGCCAGTACAGTAGACCCTCTAGTTACGTACCGCTCTGGATATGAAACCTTTGGGTTACGAACACGGCAAACCCAGAAGTGTATACTTCCAGGTTTCGCCACATGCGCATGCGCAGAAGTGCTCGATCACACCGCATGCATGTGCAGAAGCAGCGCCTCTGCCTACGGACTTTTCGGGTTGTGGATGGACCCCTGGAACAAATTTTATTCGTATCTGGAGGGTCCACTGTACCTGTTTAACCTTTTTTTGCAGTGGTTCCCCATTTGTCGAATGTTCTCCCCAGAGACTCGCCTGAGGCCTTCATGATCTTTAGGCGCCAGGCGGAAATGTTCTTCAACCAGGCCTTGGACGGATTAACAGTCTGTGTCCTTTTAAATGAGAGGGAGGAGTTATTGGTGTGCATTATTGTTGTTCCTGTTTTTATTATGTATTTTTGTTGTTGGTTTTTTTTGTATTTTTATACTGTGAACCTAATATTGAAACATGGTGACTAAACCAAGTCACCTTGCAGCCCTGTCACCACAGCTAAGTAAGTCCACCAGGACCCACTGAGAGAGGATGGAACCCACATTCCCCAGGGCCTTCTCAAACCTGGTGCCAGCTCTGAATGAACTGTATCTACTATTTTAATGACTAATCATCTGGTTTGGAGCTACCCTTGATTCCTTTTGCTTTTACCTGCCTGAATAATTTGGTCTCATCAGGAAACCAAACCATCATACAGTTCACTACCTGCTCCGGATCATTTTTGAACAAGTTACAGGGGACTCCACTTCTTACATCCATCCATGGTGACAGCTGTCCATGGATGCCTACTCTCTGCTTCCTGTTCTTTAAGCAAGCTATAGGGCTACAGAGGCACACCTCTTCTAATTCTATCACTGCTCCATTTACTGTGGGAAAGAGGCTTGTTATATTTATTATTATTCATCAATCCATTCACTCAATGCATTTATACTTCCAATCTTCAGCTGAAAAAGATCCCAAAGCAGCTTCTATCAACAAAAATAATGCAAGCCTTCAACTGAAAAGGCACAACACAAAAGGAAAGTGGGGTGGGTAGGGAAGAGGAAACCAAGCAAACTCATGCACCTCTTTCATGGTGGCAAGGTGGTTGTGATGATTTTTACTATTTGATATATTGCTATTTATTTCTCAGGCTTACTGTTAGGATTCAGCGTTGCTCAGACTGATAACCTGAGGTCTCCTCAAAAAAGGAACAAGGGCAGCTGGAACCTCCAGCAGATCTCCATACTACCAATGAACCTGAGGAGCTATCCCTGCCCCAGGACTGGAGGTCCTTACCCAGCTGCCTGGGTTCCTAGTCAGTTCTCCAACACCCAAGAAGACCACCAGAACAGGAGCGCAAGCCAGGGAGGATCTTCAGAGTCACTGCCAAAGCACCTGACTATCTGCCTGGGAAGAGGACATGCACAAGCACTTTTTGTGGATCAGGGCCTGAGAACTTTGTTGCTTAACTAACAGCTCTTATGACAGCTCCAATCTTCCTGATGTCAGGATGCAGACAATGCCCCAGAAAACATGTCATTTTTTGGTTAAAAGGAGAAATATTTTAGGTATAATGAAAAGGAGAATTTCCTGGACGCCAAGATCCAGGTTTGGGGCAAGTACTTTTAGGTGAGAGCCCCAGCAGAGATTTAAAATCACAATATATGCAGCATAGTAAAGTGTGGAAATATAGGCAGTTAGTACTTTAAAATATCCCCTTCTAAGTTGCTTCCAAAATTCCCCACTTTCCATAGCAGAGAAAGAGACCACACGTTTGGTAAGTTAAAAATTATTTACTTACAAACTCTTCAGAGGTCAGATTCATGTGCTTTTCCATACAGCAGCAAAAAAAAGACAGGCAGTTTAACTTGGATTAAAAAATTGTAAGTTTCTAAATTATTTGTATAGAATCACAAAAATAGCTTGATTAAGCCACGTATCCAGCTTAGACCTCCTTACTAGTAGGGTTCATATGGTGGAAGTGAGAGAACAAAGAGTTTGGTAGCCGTTCCTCCCAAGGTGAGTGGCAGTGTCCTAGGTAAGCCTGGCAGGACAGCTTACTCTATGGTCTTAACCTCTTAGTGCATTCATTAGAGTTACGCATGTTGGTTATATGAGGCTGATTTATCCCACAAAACATTGGTATTGACAAACTGTAAACAGCAATAAACCAAAATGAGAGCTATCACTTTATTCCAATAATGTTTTACAAATTTTCTTGGAACTGCTGGTCCATTTTCTTCATGTATTACACTACAAAAATCTTAACAATTGTTTTCCTCATTCAGAAAAAAAACTGCCAAATCTTGCTCCAAGAATTAGGCAGACTACATAGTGATAAATCTTTGATGGCATAAACAATAAATGGAGCATAAACAATAAATGGATACCATGTTGTCATGAATAAATCATTTCCCCCCCCCCAATCCCTTGCCTAATTTGATGTGCAGGTTTTTCAGCTAAAATAATGTTCCTTGCTCATTCGATCTACTCTTTAGTGGAAAGTTCCTCCCCATCTTTCCAATGCTTATCCACCTCCATCCTTGCTGCAGCCAAGAGCATCCTAATACATTCTTTGTGAAGTAGCTCCTTATTAATAGTGATAACAAGGCTGGGCTCTCAACTTGAGCCCTATCATTTGTCCAGTTATTTCTGCAATACAGCGGTACCTCCGGTTACAAACGTAATTCGTTCCAGAGGTCCGTTCTTAAGCTGAAACCGTTTTTAACATGAGGTGTGCTTCCGCTAATGGGGCCTCTGCCAGCGCACAACTTCCGCTCGCACCCCGGGGCAAAGTTTACAACTAGGGGCATCTACTTCCGGGTTAGCAGAGCTTGTTACCCAAAGAATTCGTAAGGAGGACAGTACGTAATCCAAGGTTCCACTGTAGTAAAAAATAACCCTACCAATAGTCTTCCACAGCAGGACAATGTTACTGCATGTAGGCCAAACTCCCTCTGCCTCTGCATCCTCTCCAGGGATTTGGAGATAGAGAACTATACAATAGCTTTATTTATTTATTAAAAATATTTATTATACTGCTGTATCATAAAGATATACCACAGCCATTTACAACAATATAAAAATATGAAACCAAACAATAAAATCCTAAAAGGTTAAAAACACATAGGTAGCCATCAAAAGAGCCATTTATCTTTCATTACTTTTTAAGAATAAGCAAAAAAATCCCTTAGTCTTACCACAACTAATTGCAAGAGCTTCGTTCTTATACGTAAAGGTTAGAACATCCCTCTAATACATGTTTCAGGCCTAAGTGTGTTTGAGAGAAGGACTGCATTGTCCACATACATGAGTCTGGAGGCATTCTGGCTTCTGCAAATTTTCAGTTTATGACGTTCTGGAGAGTTAAAACAGGGAACAAGGGGAGCTAGACTACAACACTAATTCCTCTCGCAGTTGCAACAGAATTTGACAGAGGACCTCCTACACAACATCTGATTTCCATTCTACTTTCCAACTGTAATTGTTCCGTGAGATAAAACAGACTTTTATCAATTGATGCACTCTTTTGGTTGTTCTGCAACCATCCCCTAGGTGAGTGGTTTTCAACCAGTGTGCCGTGGCACCCTGGGGCATCTTGAATGGTGGTCAGGTGCGCCGTGGGCAACACTGGCCTCTGTCCCTCTTTCCTTCCTTCCCTCCTCTGATGCCCCCTCGTGTCTCTGCCACCCAAAGGCTTGCGCAGCTGTTTTTTTGTAGCGGCCCAGGCTACAAGTTCTCCAGGTGAAAGCAGCCTCTGGGGCTGGCCTGGGGAGCTGAGAGCAGGTTGCCGAGAGCCAAGGTGGCCTCAGGGTAAGTAAACAAGCGGGCAAAGATTCTTGAGGAAAGGGGAGAGGAGGCTGAGGGAACCCTCCACAAGGAAGGGTCTCCGCAAAAGAGGTGAGGGGTGGGCAGCTCGGCAGGCAAGGGGAGCTCCTGAGACTCAGAGCACGTTTCCCTCCAGGGGAGCCGCAGAAAGAACGCAGTTGGTCAGGGGAGCTGTGGACTCAAAAAGGTTGACAACTTCTGCCTTGGGTTATCAAATCAAAGGCTGATTTGAGACCTACCATCACTATTATCATGATCAATTTATTAATCACTAATAGGGATGCGGGTGGCGCTGTAGTCTAAACCACTGAGCCTCTTGAGCTTGCAGATCAGAAGGCTGGCGGTTCGAATCCCTGCGACTGGGTGAGCTCCAGTCGCTCTGTCCCAGCTCCTGCCAACCTAAGAGTTTGAAAGCACACCAGTGCAAGTAGATAAACAGGTACCACTGTGGCGGGAAGGTAAACGGCATTTCCGTGCACTCTGGTTTCCATCACGGTGTTTCGTTGTGGCAGAAGTGGTTTAGTCATGCTGGCCACATGACCCAGAAAGCTGTCTGTGGATAAACACCGTCTCCCTCGGCCTGAAAGCGAGATGAGCACCGCAACCTCAGTCACCTTTGACTTTACTTAACCATCCAAAGGTCCTTTACCTTTTACCTATTAATCACAACAGCTAGTAGTCATCAGAGTTAAGATGTGGGAATTCAAAACTTTCCAGCCTGTGGGTTGCATCCAACACGGCATGCACTAATTTCCACTCACACAATGAAGTTTCCTCTTCTCTCCTTTTACACCCTCAAAATCTTCCCCAGGTGATGTTCCAGCCCTCTGGAGCTGATTTTGAGGCTGCTAGGGAGAGGAGGGATGGGGAAAGTCTCACTTTGCAAGCTGAAGTCTCCTGAGATAGCAGAACAGCAGAGCTGGATATGACCCTCTGCCAGCATACATTAGAGCGAGAGAGTACAATTAAGCTTTGGCACAGGTAGGGCAGGACACCTGTGCCACGTCCTCACGTAACATCAGAGATTTCACTGGCTTGTTGGCAAAATTGTAGGAACGGGGTATTGCCTAGTAGCTCTGTTCTGGGAAACAGCTAATATATCGGTACTAAAGGAATACAATGAATGTACTCCTCAATGGCTACTATTACGTATAATTGTGGGTCCTAAGACTGACATTAAATTTAAAGAATTGCACATCTTTCTCAATGCTGCAGCCCATGCATCAACTGCCCAAATACGGAAAACCTCAACGAACTTGGACATTAACATTGTGGCATAGAAATATGTCGAAAACAGCAACTCTGGGCAAGATAACCCACCAAGTGAGAACACTAAAAGGACTAAAGACACCTGATGCATTTTATGCCACAAGGCAAAGGTTTGTTCCTTAAACAAATCAAGGAGGGGTGGACCTTTCTCCAGCTTGCCTCCACATATGGGCTTCTAGACACAGAAATCTGAAAGTCTCCTTACTTTGTTGTTGATAGTGCTTTGGATTTATATACATGTAACTAACTCCCTATATAGCAGAAAAAAACATTTTGGACATTAATATGTGAAAATTTGGTATACATCCTGTTTTTTGCTTGTACACCTGGTCCCCGCTTCATGCTTCTTATGTTTTGCTATAGTTTATTATATATAAAAGCAATAAAAATATTTTTTTCAATAAAAAATGGAATCCAGTTGCTGCGCATCTGTGATATTATTTTCCTTTCCCTCTCCCCAGTCTTCTCAAACTATTTCTATTTATCTCCTGTGATTTGCTTTCCCCACCTCCTTTCATACCTAACTTCTACCTGAACTGCAAACTGAAGGCTGAAGTTTGGGATGTGAGAATCCTGCCTAGTAACAGCAAGCCTCTATTGTCCCAGACTGGCCAGAAGTTCTGCCTAGCAACAGTAGCCCCAACAAGTCCATTGATTACACTGGACAACAAAGTGCCTTTTAAATAAAAATTACAAACACAACTCATGGGTACAAGTACAACCAACTGACCTAAAACAATGACCCATTTCCCCAAAATGCATTGGATTGTATCCAATGTTAAACCTACTCAAAGCAGACCCACCAAAATTAATGACACGACTAACTTAGGTCCATTAATTTCCATACATCTACTCTTGAGCAGAACCTAGCTGGATACACCCCAAAATAATTGGATAAATCATTCTGGAAAATCCACCCCAGCAAAGTCTATGGAAGAAAAATGCACAATACATGTCATTTAACTAATTCAAAATAACCCATTTCCTCTCTTTTCTACCCCAAGTTCAGCAGAAACCACCTTCATACTTACTGCTTCCACACTGCCGATCTGTTGAACCATCAACTCCCCTCCCAATTTCTCATTGTAATGGTGGGATGCAATTCAGTTGACTTCACTTAACCATGACTATGGCCCTATAATAAATAGGACGATAAAATAAACATTTCCTATTATTTAATATAATTTTATAATATGTTATATTTTATACTATTACCAAATAAGTGTTTTCTATTGGGTATGAGGACAACTGTTGGGACTGGAGAAAAGCTCTTCTGAAACAGCTTAGGCTGCTGACTTTTCTGGCCTTGGGCTGTTTGACAAAACCTCTCATGGTAAGATGATGTCCTGTGTGCTGTAGCTTTTATTGCAGTGAACATAAGAAGCTCAGCTTCTGTGAGAGCTTTGAGCTGATGACAGCATGCAGTTCCCTGGAGAGATCTTTAATCTTCCCTAGCAACTGCCTTTGAGAAAGCAGCACTCGGGTTCTTCACTCGCTTTATCCTTAAAGTATGTTTGGCTCTGCCTTGAGTGCTTTGCTGAGCACATGCATGGGTGCTCAATTCATTCACAGAAGCACCAAAGAAAGGGTGAAACGAACTGCTTCAGGCTTTGTCTGCAGTGAGCGTTTTTGGCAAATCTTCCTCATTGTGCTAGTGCTGAAAAATAGCTTCTCTGATGGAAGCAGCAGTTTAGATGTCATACCTTTGTGTGGACCACTTAATCTGGATCTACTCCAGCACCACTTTTCTGCGGAGGAAATGCAGTGTGCAGACTTGGGGGTGGCGGTGGGGACAGAACACACAATTCCCCTGTCAGCAGAGTGTATTTTGTAAACAAGGGCTCTGGTTTCTGTCTGACCTTTATATTTGATTCTTACTTCACATCACAACAGTGGTGCAACCTAATTTATTGGAGCCACACACACTCCCCCAAGACATTTTGCTGCCTGAGCGGCTACGCTGCACCATCTGATGACCTAGAAGACCCCAGGATATCTTGCAACGTCACAGATGGTGCTAACATGAATCTCTTGGACCTCAAATGGGGACATCTGTAGAATTCTGAGGCAGGATGTTTTAAAAGGTGGTCCCAGCATCTTCCGGCAAGGATCCCACCACCCTGTTTCACCCTGTGCATTTTTTGAGTCCATTGTTCACACTTTATTTATTTACATGCTGCTTACTTGCCAAAGTGGCTTCTAAGCAGTTGTCCGCTGAATCAGGCAGCTTCCCAGATACTTGACTGTCCCGTTTGAGAAAAAGCAATGAATCCAATATATAGACACCCAGTTCACAGAGGGGCCCTCCAAGTTGCCTTTGAGTTGCTCTTCTGAAAAAGGAATATTATCATGACAGAAACAAGAACAATTCCCTGTGTTTTAAGATTCTTCGAAGTGGCCCTCTACGTTGACAACAGAAAGGGGGGTGACAATGTAAGAAGGGAAGAACAAGAGAGATGGGAGGAGCAAGATTCCTCTGCGAATTCCACCCCAAAAAAGGAGTTCTCAACCCCCTTTCATTTCTTGTGGGAACAGGGAAACTGTCTGGGTCAAGGTGCTATTCCAATTACAGGCCTCCAAGTCAGCCCAAGGCTTAAGCAGATCATTCCAGAGCGAGGACAATAAATGCTTACTCTGAAAAGAATCATAAGAGTTGGATGTGCGGGAAATCCCACCCATTCATCAGAATCAATTTGTTTCCCACCCTGATTGTTCAAGCCACAGGAACAAGCGAGGACAACAGCTCGGGCAGGACTGCCATCTTCAGTGAAGTAAACATATCCAAGGAAGAGGTTGAGTTTGGACCATGACTTAGTCTCTTTTTCAATTTTCCTTTAAAAATGGGTGGGGGCAGGGCAATTCAGGATAAAGGTCCACACACACACACCCTAATTTTTCTACATTGACATCCCAGTAATTGAGAAATTTAAAGAACAGATAGATACAGGTGTTAGGGGATTATATTGATTAAGATTCGGATTTAGAGAAATTGTTATTATGACCACTCAGTGTTCCAACCTGATATAAGGTGTGCATAATCCTGAAGGGCCACTTTGAAGGACCTGGCACCAGGGCAGCCATCCCATCCATGAGCAGACTGGAGAGGCAGTCCTGAGTCCCCCAGCCATCTCTTAATCATTGGGCCAGGGTTTCAAGGAAAGAAGAAATAAGGGGAGGGGCGAGGGGAGAGGGCAACCTCATCTGGTACCCCTGCACAAAGTTATTGCTTCATAATCTGTGTCATTCATGAAGACTATAGTCTGGCAAGATGTACAGTTTGTCAGTAACCTCTTCCGATTTAAGCAGCTTCTTGCTCAACCCAGTTATAATAATGCGAGCAAGGAAGCAGACATTTAATCATGTTTGAAGAACTGATAATGAACATCACACAAAACCCCAGGGGTTTGTCTCTGAAAGTTATAGAATACAGTATGGTTGAAAGAGAATCAAAAGATTGTGACAGCAAACAGGATTATCTGGGTGAGCTTGGGAATTGCTGGATCAGATGAGCAGGTGGGGAAAATAGATTCATAGATGTAGATCATACGTGTGGGGTAATTAATAAAAGAATTGTCTGGATCCCTAGATCTAAAGCGTGGGGATAAACATGCTCTCCAGCAACAGAGAGCCCCCAGCAGAGATTTAAAAGGCACAAGCACAAGCAGCAGCATATTGTGGGAATATAGGCTGTTAAACCTTTTAAACAACTCGTTCTGAGTCGCTACCAGAGCTTCCCCATTTCTACCCCTCTTAGCACTGAACAGACCACACACCTTGGGAAGTTTTAAAATGCTTTACTTACAAAGTTCCAAAAGTCAGGTTCATGCATTTATCCATGCAGCAGCATATAAACACAGGCAAAAATACTGGGGTACAAAATATAGTGAAACAGCTCTAAGCACATGGTCTGAACTAATAGTGGGCAAGTTCAGGCTCAGGCACAAACTTTATCTGAGAGTTCACATGGTGAAAGAGAATGACCAAAGCAGGAAATTTAACTCCCTTCCTTCTAGGTGAGGTCTAGCAATACAACTCTGTGGTCTTAATTGCTTTTTGCATTAACTAGCATTACACATGCTATAGCTACATGAGACAGCAATTTCCCACAGAACAGTGTTTGAAACTATGGAACAAGAAGCTGAAGAAGTCAGAGAGAAGACTATCAAAGGTGACACCTCACATGTTTTAAAGCTGTCAAACATTATGGGCAAGTACAGATACAATCACCTAATTTAAGTCGGGCTGCTGACAAGAAGCCCCCAGAATCTCACAGAATTGTGGAGAATTGTGGGGATCAGGAATGGGGTTACCTGTTTGTGAAAGACAATGTCTGGCTCTTTGTTACTTGGACTATTGTGGCTTTTTGGGGGAGGCAGTGTGTGTCCAGTACGGTTTAGGCCTTTAAAGAAGACCATCAGCATTTTGAACTGGGCCCACAAACTGGTGACCAAGGCAGTTCTGTGTCATAGTCTCTGGATGGCAACCACCAACAGTTTTTCAGAGATCAGATAAACTGCATGGCAGTAATATGACCTTAAGTTTACCAAAGTGACCCAGTTTACCTTCAGCTACTTTCTCACAGAAATATCAGTATGCTGTAACCTCAGCTCAAGTATTAACAGCAGGAGGGCTTTATAATTAAAAGCTTCACTCATGCTCAAAACATAACCATCTTAAGCCTAAGTATGTTTTCATGAGGCTTAGGAAACACCTCTCATATTTTGTTTTGGTTTTTTTTTTGTGTGTGTGTGTGTGTGTGAGAGAGAGAGAGAGAGAGAGAGAGAGAGAGAGAGAGAGGTCTGAAATCTTCTAATATTTGAGTTTGGACAGGAAAATAAATTTAGACTGTGAACTAGTTTGCTTTATATTTTCATTAGGAGCTGTTTTACATTTGCAGTAGAAGGAGAAAAACTGAAAGCCCTAGAGGATTTGTCCAGTAACAACTTACCTCTGCCTTTGGCAGAGTCACAATTCCTGGACGGCCAGGACAAAGCCAGCTTTGGTGAAGATGCAAGGGCCACTCTATGTATATTAATCTTTCTGTTGAGGTGTATTTGTGCTTTGTTGGTTTTCATTAACCGCCCACAAGACCTTGGTCAATGGGTGGTCTATAAACCACACAAATAAAAAAATTTAAGCTGATTTCACTCTCAAATGTGAAAATGTTGCTAGTGGTGCAATTATTTGAATGATTCTCCCTCCTTGTGGCCCTTCTGCCAGCAGGTTCCAACAGGCTTTGGGGAATTGATGGCTTTTAATGAAAGGGCTGGTGCTGTACTGTTTTTATTGGGATTATCTGTATGGTTTTAATGTATTTTGATCTATCTACATAATATATACTTTTAATTCTGACAATGTTTAATTCTTTTTTTAATTATTGTTTTTAGCTCTTCTTACTTTTATCTGTAAGCTGCCTGGAGTCCTTGTCAGGGGAAAAAGTGGGGTATAAATAAATATATACCGTATTTTTCGGACTATTGGACGCACCGGTCCATAGGACGCACCTAGATTTGGGGGGGGGGGGAATAAAGGCCAAAAAAAATTATTCCCCCCCCCGCCAGGCGCGGGGCTGGGGCGGGGAAGCCCGAGCTTCCCCCTCCCCCAGAACGGGACCCAGAGCCATGCCGAAGCTGCGCACAGCTTTGGCATCGCTCTGGGAGCTTGCGGGGCTGGGGGAGGAGGAAGCCTTCCGCCAGCCTCCAAACCATGTCGGGAGACAGCGGGATGGCGCGCTGCGCCTCTCCCGCTGTCCCCCGAGTTTGCGGGGCTGGGCCAGCCTTCTAACCAAGTCGGGGGACAGCGGGAAGGGCGCGCTGCGCCCCTGCCGCTGTCTCCCGAGTTTGCGGGGCTGGCGACGGGGAGGAGCAGGCTTCTCCCCCCGCCAGCCTTCTAGACAAGTCGGGGGACAGCGGCAAAGGCGCGCTGCGCCTCTCCCGCTGTCCCCCGAGTTTGCGGGGCTGGGCCAGCCTTCTAACCAAGTCGGGGGACAGCGGGAAGGGCGAGCTGCGCCCCTGCCGCTGTCTCCCGAGTTTGCGGGGCTGGCGACGGGGAGGAGCAGGCTTCTCCCCCCGCCAGCCTTCTAGACAAGTCGGGGGACAGCGGCAAAGGCGCGCTGCGCCTCTCCCGCTGTCCCCCGAGTTTGCGGGGCTGGCGACGGGGAGGAGCAGGCTTCTCCCCCCGCCAGCCTTCTAGACAAGTCGGGGGACAGCGGCAAAGGCGTGCTGCGCCTCTCCCGCTGTCCCCCGAGTTTGCGGGGCTGGCGACGGGGAGGAGCAGGCTTCTCCCCCCGCCAGCCTTCTAGCCAAGTCGGGGGACAGCGGGAAAGGCGCCCTGCGCCTCTCCCGCTGTCCCCCGAGTTTGCGGGGCTGGCGACGGGGAGGAGCAGGCTTCTCCCCCCGCCAGCCTTCTAGCCAAGTCGGGGGACAGTGGGAAAGGCGCGCTGCGCCTCTCCCGCTGTCCCCCGAGTTTGCGGGGCTGGCGATGGGGAGGAGCAGGCTTCTCCCCCCGCCAGCCTTCCAGCCAAGTCGGGGGACAGCGGGATGGCGCGCTGCGCCTCTCCCGCTGTCCCCCGAGTTTGCGGGGCTGGCGACGGGGAGGAGCAGGCTTCTCCCCCCGCCAGCCTTCTAGCCAAGTCGGGGGACAGCGGGAAGGGCGCGCTGCGCCTCTCCCGCTGTCCCCCGAGCTTGTGGGGCTGGCGGTGGGGCTCTCCTGAAGCCTGGAGGTTGTGGGGCTGGTGGGGGGGAGAAGCAGGCTTGCTTCTCCCACCCCCAGCCTCCAGATCAGGTCGGGGAATAGCGGGATGGCGGAGCGCCGCCATCCCGCTATTTCCCGACCTGATCTGGAGGTTGTGGGGCTGGGGGGGGGGAAGCAGGCTTGCTTCTCCCACCCCCAGCCTCCAGATCAGGTCGGGGAATAGCGGGATGGCGGAGCGCCGCCATCCCGCTATTCCACGACCTGATCTGGAGGTTGTGGGGCTGGGGGGGGGGGAGAAGCAGGCTTGCTTCTCCCACCCCCAGCCTCCAGATCAGGTCGGGGAATAGCGGGATGGCGGCGCTTCGCCATCCCCCTATCCCCCGAGCTTGTGGGGCTGGGGGGGGAGAAGCAGGCTTGCTTCTCCCCCCGCCAGCCTCCAGATCAGGTCGGGGAATAGCGGGGTGGCGGCTCTGCGCCTCCCCGCTGTCCCCAGCTTTTGGGTGCAGGCTGCTGCCCGCAAGCCTTGCGAGCCCGCGGGACATCCCGCCGGGCTTGCCAGACTTGGGATAGCTTCCTGAAGCCTGGAGAGCGAGAGGGGTCGGTGCGCACGGACCCCTCTCGCTCTCCAGGCTTCAGCAAAAGCCTGCATTCGCACCATAGGACGCACACACATTTCCCCTTCATTTTTGGAGGGGAAAAAGTGCGTCCTATAGTGCGAAAAATACGGTATATTACTACTACTATGACATTTCCTTTTATGGTATAATGCATCTAGTTGCAAGCCCATTCCTTGTCTTACCCCTGTTACATTTCCTCATTGTTGCTTGGCCTTAATTTGTGTCAGGGCTCAGCATGGATTTTCAGTATCAGCGCTCAACCCTATAAAAGACAAAGTAAGTAAAAAGAAAAGGGGCGGTAATCAAGGCTGCAACATTTAATTAATTAATGATTTAGAGTAAACATTTTTTTAAAAAATCATTGAATCAAAAAGTGTCCCTGTTAAGGGAAATATAGATTTTGCAACACAAATGTATATATAAAAACTGCAGGTGGCATATACTGTTACAAAAGAGGCATTCTCATTTTACTCTCACACAGAAGGAATGCCTCTTAAGAAGACACATGCAAGCATCATCTAAAAACAAAGAGAACATGCTTCTTGGTTCAAAATGGTGCTGTGGGTTAAACCATAGAGCCTAGGACTTGTCGATCAGAAGGTTGGCGGTTCAAATCCCCGTGACGGGGTGAGCTCCCATTCCTCGGTCCCTGCTCCTGCCCACCTAGCAGTTCAAAAGCACGTCAAAGTGCAAGTAGATAAATAGGTACCGCTCCGGCGGGAAGGTAAACGGCGTTTCCGTGAGCTGCTCTGGTTCGCCAGAAGCGGCTTAGTCCTGCTGGCCACATGACCCGGAAGCTGTAACGCTGGCTCCCTCTGCCAATAAAGTGAGATGAGCGCCGCAACCCCAGAGTCGGCCACGACTAGACCTATTGGTCAGGGGTCCCTTTACCTTTACCTTTATATTTAGGTGACAGCTCAATTACAGTGTCTTTAATCAGACTGCAGTAATAGTTTTAATGAGAGAAACTGCAGTTGAAGCCTGCTCCATGTGCCTTCATCCTCACGACTCCTCATTGCCCTATTCTCTGTAGTTTCAGGATTCAGGGCATTACTGCCAGTCAGTGTTCATACAGTAACGTGGACCACCTGTTTGCTTTTCTCTCCCATCAACTGGGCACTGATTTATCCTCCAGAAGTCATGTTTGCTTCGTAGGATAAAGTCAGCTTACAGAACACGCACATACACACCTGCAACAGTCCCTATCTGTGGTTTGTCTATGTTTTCTCTTATGCAAAGCCCAATTCCTTCCCTGATCCGATTACATTTTTAACAGTGGGCCTGTGCTGATCAGTCGGACAATGAAAGAAGGCTTTCTGCAGACAAGACTGCGGTTTCTCAAGATTTAGCAGTTACCCAGGTATGAAGAAAAAAATTAACTGTAAGAGAGAGAGCGCGTCCACCAACCAAAGGCTGCAAATGTGCAAAGACTTTCCAGCTAGAAACTTGGGGGGGGGGGACCTGACAAAAGCTACATGGGGCAAAATTTGGCCAGGGGAGGGGGGTTATCCAGTTCTCTCAACCAGATTCAGAAAAAAAAAACACAAACAAGGGAGAGTATTTGCACAAGAGCATTTTTTTTTATTTTCTTCCTGCCCTCCATTAAAAAGGAACTTTCTTAGCATGGAAAAGGAGGAGATATACCCCCAAACTCTCCAAAACAGTATACCGTATTTTTCGCTCTATAGGACGCACTTTTTCCCCTTCAAAAATGAAGGGGAAAATGTGTGTGCGTCCTATGGAGCTAAGAAGCCATATCCCCACGACCCTCTCCCGGCTGGAGAGGTGACGCACGGCTATGGCAGGAGCCTCTCCGCTGCGCCTTTCCGCTGCTCCCTGACCTGCTCTTTGGGGCTGGTGGTGGGCTTCCCCCGCCAGCCCCAAAGAGCAGGTTGAAAGGAACCTGAAGCCTGGAGAGTGAGAGGGGTCGGTGTGCACCGACCCCTCTCGCTCTCCAGGCTTCCAAGGTAGCCGCCTGAACGCACCTTAAACGGCACCTTGTTTTAGAGCGGGAAAACAAGAGGGGGAAAGTTCTCCCCCTCTCTGCGCAGCGCCTCCTGCTGCTTCACTGAAGGGGCGCTGGGCAGAGAGGGGGAGAATTTTTTTTTCTTGTTCTCCCCCCTCTAAAACAAAGTGCGTCCTATTGTCCGGTGCGTCCTATGGTGCGAAAAATACGGTAGTTAGAGGAAGTTAACCACAGAGAAAGAGAAAACATTATTCAGAAGGGGTCTTGCAGAGCGACTGGCTATGCTGAAAACAGAAACCTCCTTATAAAGCACTAAAGTTCTGAGCCAATCACAGGGGGATTTCCTGCTCTTCCCCCTCCACCAAAGTTATATGATGGGTTGGCACCCTAGTTAGGCACTGGGGTGTTTGAACTGCCCCTGCCTGCCGGCACAGGACTGCTCAAGGTTAGGCCACCCCACCCTTATTGCAGTCCCAGGTCCCTTCGCTCACTCATCACGTTGAAGGAGAACAGCCCCCTCCCACATGACTTCTCCTAGCCCTCCAACTTGCCTTTCATTCAGAGTGTGGCTGGCAATGGCGACAGAAGTTGTGGGGTCTCTCTTCTGGGCCTGCAGGAAAAACAGCTGAAGATTAATCCCCACACACCAAGGAACCTTCCAGCCATGGCACCCCCGGGAGGAAATGAACTCTTTGCATTTACTGCAGGTACTATGATGTCCAGCAGTAGAGGGCAGCATGGAGTCACTGGCCCCGGAGCCACCAAGGAACAAATGCGGGGGGGGGGGAGGAGTGTGTGTGGTGTACCCATCTGGAAAATGGCAACAATATTCCATTTGACATGGTGATAAAAAAGAACCACCACCACCACCACCCCAAAAAAAACCCACCACAAAGAATTACAGCTTTTGCTCCAGTGGCTCATGGAACTTATCTGGTCATCTGTCTGATCAGAAGATTGCTTTTAAATAAATGAAAGAAAAGCATGCCTGCATCTGCCGAAAGGCTTCCAGGATGCATAAGCAAAAGCCTGACTCCTATGACCAGCTGCCTGTTTTCTCCTTATGCCTTAACCCTTACAGGATGAGGAACTGCATGGGCAAACAGGGGAAGCCACCCATTTGCAACTTTTATCAGCTGCAAGGGGTCTCAAAAGCAAACATCCTAGCTGGAATCTTATGGAATGTAACCAAGATTCCTGAGATGCATATGGACTTATGCATATGGACTGCAGCAACCCCAGTGCAACTGGACCCTACATTTTTAAATGCATACATGTGCATATTTCGCTATTAGCATGTTAAAGGTGTATTCACACGTTTTGCTTTTCTCCTCCAGGGCTGTCAGTACCAGGATATGGGAAGACTGTTTGGTTTGCAGCAAGGACCGGAGAAAAACCATTCAGTCACTTACAACAAGTAAACAAGTCCCACCGAACTCGTGAGGACTTACTTTCAAGTAAATACCGCATAGAATGCTGCCCTAGAGCTACAATCCTGTACACACTTACCTGCTAGCAAATCCAATAGAAGTCAGTGGGGCTTACTTCCGAGTAAACACAGGTAGGGTCGGGCTGCAATTCTACGGGTATTTATTAGGGAGCCAATCCTCTATGACTTCAGGGAGGCTTTCTTCTGCGTGCACGTGCACGGCACATCCTCATGTCCGCCCCCGCGTCTCCACCGATCGCGGATCTGCCGTTCCAGCGCTGCCCCCAGATGCGCCCGAGCAAGTGCCCGGAGGGGTGCAGGAGGTTGTTTGGTCCCGCTCCGGCTTTCTGGACTCGGCGGCTGCAAGTCCCTTTCCCTTGGCGAGAGGGCAGCGGCCCCCTCCGGGCAAGGAGCGGCACCCAGCTTGGCGGCTCCGCCCCGGCAGGGAGATCCCCGTCCGCTCGCCATTGCGTCAGGCTGGCCCGGGGCAGCCCCGGCGTCTCCGCCTCCCCCGCCCGCGCGGGGAATCCCTGCTCCGGCTCTCGCCCCGGGGGCAGAGGCTCCGGCTCGGCATTTTCCTCTCCCCGCCCCGGAAAAGCGGCGGCGGCGGCGGCGGAGGCGCCGCGCTATAAATACTTCCCGCCCGCGCTATCTTTGGCTCGCCCGGCGGCGCTCCCGAAATAGCTCTCCCTTGCGCGCGGGCGGAGCAGCGGCCGGGCGCCCGCCCACCCACCGCGGGGGCCAAGCCGGAGCGCAGCCGCCGCCCGCCGCCTCGGGACCCGCCCGGCGCGCCCCCGGCCCCGCCGCGCGCAACCGGCTCCGCGGGGGCTAAATTTAGCCTGGCCGCTTGCGTCAATCACGCGCCTTCCTCTGCGTCAAGCCTCCCCGGCCCCGCCCCGCCTGGCCGGGAGCCCGCCGCGTCCGGGGCTGGGATTGGGCGCGGGGTCACGAGGGCCGGGGCCGCGCGCTGACGTCCCCGCGCCCATTGGCTCCCGGACGGGGGGGGGGGGGGGGCCGGGGCGAGGGCTGCGCGCTGGCCGGATCCCTTTCCGTCTCTGCGCTGCGCGACCAGCGCGCACGGCGGAGCTGCTGTGCCGGGCGAAGCAGCGGAGAAACAGGTGCGCACGGAAGTGCCCGGGCAGATGCGCACAGCCTGGTCCGGTGCAAGTTGGCCGGGGGAACCATCCCCACTCACACGTTCAGGCAACGAGACTTAACCCGCCTAAACAAAGCCTGGGGGGGGGGAGTCTCGCAGACCAAGTATTCTCGCGCGCAAAGGGGGTTTTGCAGCGCCTCTCGCCTTCCCCGCCTCGGGTCCACACTCTCTCCCGCAACCTGCAGGAATACTTTCCCGGGAAAGGAAGGCGCGTGTGGACGCGTGTGCCAGGCTCGAGTCTCTTCCGGGATTCCGCCAGGTTTCCTGCTCCTCCGCAGCAGCAGCAGCGGAGCCAGTCTATCCGGGCGGAGCAAAAGGGAAAGTGTCCGTCCTCCTTTCACCTGGCCGGGCATTCTGGACGCTCTCCGCCGTCTCGCGTAGAAGTCCGCGCCTCCTTCTCCGCGGTCCTGCCAAAGGCAAGGGGCCCGGCGCAAGGAAGACATCAGCTGGACGTTGCAGCAAAAATGATGGGGCGGCTAAAGGGGCCCCAGGGAATATTGTTGGAGCCCGGAAGGTCGCCCAGCAATGAAGGGAGCTCCTCCGAGCTCGTTCTTGCCCTGCCACTATCTATATCTAGACAGTACCTGGCACTGCATACCTGAAGGAGCGTCCGCACCCCTGTCATTCAGCCCGGACACTGAGGTCCAGCTCCAGGGCCTTGTGGCGCTTCCCTGCATGCCATAAATGAAGCAACAGGGAACCAGGCAGAGGGCCTTCTCGGTGGTGGCCCCCTCCCTGTGCAACGCCCTCCCGTCAGATGTCAAAGAGCTAAATGCCTGCACAACTTTTAGAAGAAGGCAGCCTTATGGTGTTTTTAATATTTTGTTGATGTCAGATGGGCAGGTACAAACAATAAAAAATATTATTATTATTACACTTGGAAGTGCAATAACGAGCGCTTCCCCCCCGTGCAAAATACACACATATACGCACGTCAGGGGATATAAAATATTGGGGGACTTAGGTAAGCCCCACCCCACAACCACAAGGCGCACACCCCTATTTGAATTGCAATGCAATTCCTTTGAGTACGGTGTGGCCCTCTCAAATATGACACAAACATACACACCATATTAATAAAATCTGTATGTATAATATTTCGGAGCCACAGATCTCGACGGTGCGTCTCTGTGTGTCCATACAGGAGCTGATCTGGTTCTGGCACTTCCAGCCAGCCATTGTTTCCCACGTCCTCGGACCCCCTGAGCGCCGTTGCCCCGCGGAGACGGCTCCGTCTTGGCCCCGAGCCGCGCTCTCCTCCTCGGGGCTCCTCCGGCCCGAGAGCCGGGTCGCCCGCACACGTGTGTGCGCGTCCCCACGCCGCGCGCGGGAGGGGCGGGGGGGCGGGGGTCAGGCGCGTCAGGCTCCCATGGCGTCACGATTGACGTCTCGCATTCCAGCCGCTGTATGAAGAGGCCGCTAGGGCTCCTCTCGCATAAATGACGCGCGGCGCGCAGGGAGAGCGGCGAGAGGGAGAGGTGGCGCGCGCGCTGCGGAGCCCGAGCCGGAGCCGGAGCCGCCTTCGCCGCCGACCGACGCGGACGGGCTGGGAGCGGCTGGCCCCGGCGGCCTTTCCGAGCCCCAGGCGCCTCGCTCCGCCGCCGCCGCGCCCGCGCCCCATGCCTCGGGGCGGCGCATCCCCCCGGACTGCCGCTTGGCCCCAGCCGCCGGCTCCCTGCCCGCCCGCCGCCGCGCCTCCCCACAGCGCCCACCTGCTGCTGCGGCTTCTCGGGGAACCAGGCGCGGGACAAACTGCATGTAAAGACGGAACCGCCCCAGCGCCCCAGTACGTAGGCGAGGCGCGGCGCCCGGCCAGCCCGGCCACTTGCGCGAAGTTTGGGGGCTCCTCTTCTGGCGCCCGGGAAAGCGGCGGCGGCTCCGGGTTGCGCCCGCCGCTCCCGCCGCCGGCTGCTTGGCGTTGTCATGGGGATGGCGCGCGGGGGGCTCGGCCGGAGGGCGGCGACCTGTCCTGCTGTGGGGCAGCGGAGCTTCCCGGCGGGGGGCGGGCAGGAGGCGCGCGGGGTCCTTCGGGGTGGGCTCCGGCCGAGGAGGAGGTGCGGGGCGCGGGGAGAGGCGCCGAAAGAGGCAGGCTGGAGTTGCGCGCGGGGAGCGGCGGCACTTTTCGGCCGGCGAGGAAGTGGGTGGCCTCGGCGGGTCCCTCCTGGGAACCCGGCCGGTTTGGCGATGGTGGGGAAGCAGGCCAGCTCCTGAAGTGAAGCGGAGAGACCCTTTCTCGTCCCGGGTCGAGATCCGCCCTCGCGGGCATCCTGCACGTGCCCCTGTCTCGAGGCGGCCCATCGGAAGCAGGTTGTTGGGCGGGTCCCGCCGCGCTGCGGCCAAGCGCCCCGGGTGCCTTTCCCGGCTCGCCCGAGGCCAGCGGCAGGCGCCGAGCCGGGCTCTCGGGGGCGAGGCGGACTGGCCCCGGGGCGGGGGTCTTCGCCCGGCCTCTGAGCCCCTGCAGAGCGCCTCCTCGTCCGGGGTGCGGCGATGCCCAAGCCCTTCTGGGGAGAGCGGGGATGGGAGGGCGGATGGCGGGCGAAGAAGGGGCTTTTCGAATGGACAGTGTCTAACTTGAAAGTAAGGCGGATGGTGGTTTTTTGGGAGGAGTGTCCCGGCAGAGGACCCGCCAGCAGCCCCCCATCGGGGACTCCAGAGGAAGGGTTTCCACAGGTGGGACTGGAGTCGCTTCGCTTTTCAAAAGGCGCGCCGGAGAGCTGCCACTTGGATTGAGCGCTCTTGACGGACCGGCTCCTGGTTCGCCTGCCATGTTCAAGTCCTTTGAGGCCCCGTCGGACAGTCACTTGGTGGGAGGGCGGGGGCTCAGCAAACTCCCGGGGTTTCCTTCGCTTCCTCCTTGCGAAGTTTGCTTTCTCCTTGCCGGCCCACCCTTCTCCCTGGCCATACCTCTGGCTAACCGGGAAAGAGGGGAGCGGGTGGCAGCCCCCCCTCGCTTGTTCGGCTTGCCAAGGGTGCCAGCCCGTCCCTTGCCCACTTAGGAACCGGGGGGGGGCTGGGGGCGACGGCTGAGGGCACGATGCTTGGGGGACGCCAGTACTTCGAGTCCTTGGGAGGAAAGTAGGGGCGCCGCGGGCTTGAGAGACGAGAGTCCCCAGGGGGCGCGGGACTTTGAGACGTCGAGCCGGGGCAGCCCAGCCGGCCCCTCCAGCCCTGGTCCTCAGCTGGTGGGTGGGCAGCCTGAGCCAAGGAGTTGGGTGGGTCTCTGGTGCTGAGAAGGTGGAAGCGAAGCTGCCCCTGGGTCCGGGAGAGCTTCTGGCGCTGGGATCGGCTGCTCCCACCCCAAGGCGGCCGGGGGCGGTTCAGGGGCCCCGATGTGACTCCTCCGGGCGCCAGCAGGAAGAGCTGCGCGGAGCTCAGTTTGAACTTGGTTGAAAGTTGGTGCCTGCGCGCCCAGCGGAAGGGGAAAGGGGAGCCAAGCGAGGCTCTTCTGGGGAAGGGAGCCCTCCGCCCCCTCGACGGGGTTGTTGGGGCAGAAGGGACCTTCTCCGGGCACAGGGAGGCCGCTTAGTGCCCGCGCATGGGCATCCCCGAGGGCACGATGCCGCCCTAGAAGGGCGCCCCTCCTCGAGGAGACGAAGGCGAGCAAAGGTTGCGCCCCTCTCGCCTTCGCCCAGCAGCTGGGGGTGGGAGGTGGCGCTCCGGGGGCGCGTTGCTTTGGCCCCTGGCGCGGGAGGGCCAGGCGTCGGGGAAGCCCCTGTCTGGACACACGCCCCCTCCCCATACCGACTCCCCTCGAGGGGCGGCAGGGGCGCACTTGGACCCTGGACTTTCCGACACCCGAGGCCAGAAATTGGGTCGGGTGTGGCTCCGTCCAGCCTGGGCTGCGAGATCAGGGGAGCCTTGCGGCAGGTTTCGAGCTGGCCTTTCGCCTGAATGAAAGCGCATCGGGTAGAGACGGGGGTGGCCGGTGCTGCCGCCTGGATGTCCCCCTCGAGGGCTCCCCGGACTTGCCTGGCGTCCGCCTCTCCCCAGACCCCTTCCTCCGGCCCCGCTGCCCCCGCCGACTCCCTTGTCTCCGTCTTGCAGAGTCCAGGTCGGAAGAGCCCTCTCCGGGGAGCCCCCGCCAGCCCGACGCCGACGAGCCAGCGCCGCCCCCGCCCGCCGCCGCCCCCGCCGCCCAGCCCGCTGTCCGCACCATTCGGCCAGCAAGTCACCGTCCAGGTAACGGCGGCGCCCAGCCCGGAGGAGCGCGCCGGGGCCTCCCCGGGACTCAGCCCGCTTCCCCTTCCCAGCGCGGCTCCTCCGCGCGCCCAAATGTCCAGCGGCGCCCTTTGCTTTCTTCGGGAAAGCGCCTCTCTCCCGGGCGAAGGGGGCTTTCCTGCCCAAGGCATGGATGTTGCTCGGGGGCTTCTCGTCTTGGTCTGGAGGTGAAAGAGGGCGTTTTCCAAAAGAAAGGAAAGGAAACTTGGAGAGAGGTCTCTGAGCCTCCTCTAATAGATACTGTATATAAAAATTAGATGCGCAGCACACAATTTAAAGTCGAGAGTTTTCTTGGGAGTAGTTTTCAGTCAGAAAGAAGGTAGAACGCTCCTGGGTGCATCTTTTATTGGAAGTTAAGCCTCGCTTTTTTGCTTACTCCCTTAGTAAGTGTTTAGGGTTGCAGCCTGAGTTCTCTTTCTTTGCGAATCCCAGTAGTTAAAATCTGCAAAACATATTTTACTATAAACATGAATGTTAAATCTTAAATAACTGTTTATAGGGCAACTTTCCTTATAGTGGGGCAACAGTAAAACTGCCAGAACATTTGCAAAGCTCAGCAGAGCTAGGTATGTTTTGTAGGATCCCAACTACTTACATTGTAAATTTATTTATGGATTTTAATGGAAAAATTGAAATGAAAGCAAGAAGTTGTTTTACAAATTAAGAAAGAGGAGCTGCTATTTAAATGGGGGAGGCCATTATGAGAACTGTGGATTTGTTTGGTTCCTTTACATTTATTTGAAATAGACAAGAAGCCTAAATCTCCTGTCATGCATAATAAATATGCAACATACAGTATGTTCTTCCCTTTTACCAAAAGGTCTCTTTTAGTCCTCAAAAACTGATACTAAAACTTGATGATTTAATGTTTTATTGCATGTGTTTAATCTTTTTCACAGTTTCAGTTTCATTAAAGTATCAATGAAAATAACACAAAATAAAATGGTATATTTATTATATTTTATTAAGATTCTTATATGGGCATTTACAGTGCTATCATAGCATTGTTGCTGGTGTTAAAGCTAGTTTGATTTACCTTCACAATAACAAGCTTCAAATTATAAAAATATCAATATGCAGATCCAACAGCAATAACCATTTATCTCTGGTATATGTTCTTTCTTTCTATACCACTGACAAACATTTTCATTTTTCTCTCTTTTTGTAATGTCTTGATATTTTGATTTCTCCCCTGCCCCCTCCCAGCTTGGGTATTAGGACCTAATTGTTCAGAGCCTATTAGTTCTTCTTTTGCTTCTTGATTGATATATTAAAAATAACTGAAATTTAAACAGTCAAGGGGCTGGGGAGCTGAATTCTGTCGTTATATCATTGGAAAACGCTGAGTAACTCTGCTCACTTGATCCAGCTGACTGAAAAGCCAGTGTTAACTTTTGCACATTATGGGATGTGCAATTCCCACATTCATTCGAGGGGCTGCCACAAATGTGAGGAACTCCTTATGTGGAGAACCTTTCAGGCTGCAACGCTACATCCAGTTACTTTGGAGTAAGTCCCATTGGACTTCTGTATCTTTCATTGCCTGAAACTGAACTGAGAGATAGCGCACCAGTCATATGCATGCCTCTTTTTCGCACGCACCCCCCCCCCGCCAGCACAGAAGTATTTTCCAAGTAGAAAATTTGTTTCATTTTGTCACATTTCGAAGCATATCCGAGGCAGAAGGGAGGGAATGTGTTTTAGTTGGACTTGCAATAAAGTAACACAAGGAACAAGTACTGATGAGAAAACTTTGCTAATGGACCCTTTCCTCTTTGCCCTTGCAGATATGCCCTGCGTGCAGGCCCAGTACAGCCCTTCGCCCCCTGGCTCAAGTTATGCAGCTCAGACCTTCACCTATGGCTCGGAGTACAACCCCGAGATCATGAACCCGGACTACACCAAGTTGACCATGGAGATGAGCGGGGCTGAGATCAGTGCCACTGCCACCACCTCTCTGCCCAGCTTCAGCACTTTTATGGAGGGCTATGCTGGGAATTATGAGCTCAAGCCCTCCTGCTTATACCAAATGCAGTCCTCTTCGCCTTCCTCTTCCGCCAGCCAGAGGCCCCTCGTCAAGATGGAAGACAGTCGGCTGCATGGCTACCACCCATCCTTGCCTCCCTCTGCTGATGAAGGCATGGCTGTGAACACCTCCATGTACTTCAAGCAGTCCCCGCCCTCCACGCCCACCACCCCCGGGTTCCCCCCACACCAGGCCCCCTGGGACGAACCGCCGCCGCCGCCTCTTCCGCCAGCACAGACCTGCATGGCCCCTGGCCACCTGATGAGCGCTGCCCCCATGAAACCGGGGCCCGGCCGCTTCCCACTCTTCCACTTCAAGCATTCGCCGCCCCACACGCCACCTGCCGGCACCCACATGTGCTACGATGCCACTGCCTTGAGCCTGCCCATGGGATCGGATAGACCCCCCGCCGGCCAAGCCGCCATGGAAAACCACCCGTACGGGCTCCCGTTGTCCAAGAGAGGAGCCGCCTTAGCCTTCTCGCCGCTGGGTCTCAATGCAGCCGCTTCCAGTCTTCTGGGGGAGAGCAGCGGTAGCAGCAGTGGTCTTCCCTCCCCACCCAGCAGAAGCTCTTCCTCAGGGGAGGGCACTTGCGCCGTGTGTGGGGACAATGCTGCCTGCCAGCACTATGGCGTGCGGACATGCGAGGGCTGCAAAGGCTTCTTCAAGGTAAGAACCGCCAATGTGAGCCCTCCGCTCTCCCCTTCAGCCAGTAGCAGCGTAAACCAATACACGCAGGGCCTGCTATCCCAGTTCTCGTTGTGCAAAAATTCACTTATCTGAGCACGAGGATTTAGTACCCAAACCTCGCTATACATAGTGCAGATTCAGATATTCAAAGAGTCAGACCTGTGTGTAGTGCTGTAAACAGATAAGCAGCCTTAAACAAGTCTCCTTTTTGTGTTTTTCTGGGTTGCGGCACCCATTTCTCCAGAAACTCTGGTTGGAGGAGGGGGAGAGATTTGACAACTAAGAAAACTTTCCCCCCTCTTCCTTGCAAGGATTTAGAGGGGTTTCCCAGGTCTTTTCCTCATTTTGGAGTCAAAATTCTGTGGTCAGGAATGCATTCGAAGTCATGACTCGTTATGCAGATATTCGCCTAGCAATTTCCTGAGAACGCATTGTGTTTGGAGAGCAGGATCTGTGTGTACGTGTTTAGGTAAAAGTAAGTCCCATTGTGTTAAGGAGGGTTTAAGGATTGCTACGTGTGTTTAGGATTGCAGCCTTATTTGTGAGGAGGCCCCATTGAAAACAATGGTACTTCTAAGTGGATGTGGATTAAAACCTGCACATTTCAATGGAACAAGTTTGGTTGCTTTCCATGGGTCTTGGTTGCAACCAGTTTCCGCTGAATATTGTGTCTGCTCTGAAGCTTTTACATTGTTCATTTATTTTTTTTAAAAGAAATTACCCTACCTGATTTTTCTGGGAAATGCAAGATAGCTAACAAATCAGTAATGGAACAATATGAAAGTAAGATTCAAATAATCCCCAAATTAAAGTCAACCACAGAATCAAAATATCAGAAAACTAAAAAGCGCATTTGATGATTCCAAAACAGCCATTGAATAAATACAAAACTAAGCCAGCAAATTATTTAATTATAAAGCCAGGGGCCTTTTCACCAACCACCTAAAGCGGTATAATGACAGGACCGCCGAATCTCACCCAGCAGTGTGGACACAACAGCAGAGAAAGCTCACTGACACCAGTCTTTCCTCCCAGTGCGGAGAGATCTGAAGCAAGGCCTCAGGTGGTAGTTGGAGCATGACAGAGAAACAACACGTGGAATTAGGCAGCCCTTACAGTCCTCGGGTCCCAAACCGCTCAGGGCTCTAAAGGTTAACACCAGTGCCTGACACCAGTGCCCTGCTGAAAGTGACCTATGGAGCAGCCTGGGCAACCACGGAGAAGGCGCCTAATACCTTCACAGTGCAATCCTATTCTTGACTTGAAATTAAGTCCCAGGTGATTTCCAATACAATATATCTGAAATATATATTTCAGATATATATTGAAAATACACTCTCTCACATAAATGCATTATACAAATATATCTATATGTTTATTATATACATTTTAGATATTTTATTATACACCATCTTTGTTTCGTGTATAATAAAGTATGTTGTTTGACTTGTTCTGCAAATCATGTTCAGCATGTGAGGTGAATGGGTAAAGGATTGTACCTCAGTGTAGGGAAACAGGCAAATACATCTAAGAGTTTTCTCTTCAATTTCACTAAGCCAAGTGGCCTTAGGCTGAGAACACTCCACCTCTCTCAGGCTCAGTTTCAGGGTGAAAACACAGACCTGTATTTTCTAATAGGACTGAGAAGAGAGGTGCTCTCGAAATGTTAAATGAATGTGAAACAAATTGTGTGTGCTATACACAGTTGTTTCACATATCATGTTTCCATAAATATGTTGGTTGACTTGTTTTTCAGACTATGTTGTGTATTTGAGGATGTACAAGGTTGCTTTAGCTCTTGATACTGAAACGTCAGCCTGCCCTGTTTCTCCTTGGGGTCAAGGGACACATGTTGCCAGAGAGTTCTCTTCTGCATGTCCATTGAGAGGAAGAGGCGGGTGTAACTTTCTGGTCATTTCAGTAGGACATGCCCAAAGAAATTGGCCATGCCTTGAGCTCCAAACTTCCTAGAGCTTCAGTATCAACTTAAGGGATCAGTTGCTTTCCTATTGCCTCTGTTGGAAACATGTTTTATATTATGGTATGGTCACTACTTAGCGATAATATATTTGCAGCATATTTATCAGGCTTTTGCTGTTAAAGCCCTAATTTTGGCCTGCACTAAACCACAGAAATCTTCCCTTAGACAGTTGAAACTTGGTCCCTTTATAGCAAGAATTTCCCACGCTGAGTATTTAATGTGCAAGTTATAGTATAGCAAAGTCATCTACTAGGTTTTAAAAATATGCTGTTATATAAAGACAAGCACAGCTCTTGGTTAAAGTAATAAGTAATATTATTAGAAGGAAATAAAAATCCCTTTCATTTTACTTTAGATGTCTGAATACATTATAGTATCTGTTTTCCTTACATTTAACAAAACCCAAGTTTAATCTTAATAATTGAGGTTTGTGTGTTTTTTATGACCCACCTTGCATTTATGGCTGAAAGTTGCTTTAAAAAAAAATTATATTGTATTTTAATGCTGCAACCCACCCTGGGATCTTAGAGTGAAGGGCAGGCAAGAAACAAAAGAATGAAAAAATAGTAAAATAATTCCATGCAAACATTATTTAACCATAGACAGTTAACTCCTTAAAAAAAAACCCATATATATGAGAAAAGGACTTCAGCTTAACACTTCCATTGAAATAAATTTGACTGAAAAGTACCTAACTTTGGTTGAATCATGCCCCCTATGTTTTAAATTTTGTTGTGAGCTCATGGTAATACTTGTATAATTTAACTTACAGATGTATATATTGTAAATTTGCTTCTCTTTGTGTTTTATATATTCTTTGTTTATGGCAATGATGAATTAAACCAGTTATTTTGATATCTAATAATTGAAGTAGTGAGATAAATCTAAACCAGTTATCTTGATAGCAAGAGAGATCAATCTTCAGGTAATTTTGATTCTATTTTAATAAGGTCAGTAATAATCAAGGGAATGAACCAAGTAAAAATTGTTCTCAGAGGAATATTAAAAGCCCAGCTAATACATTCCCCAAAGGTATGATGCGATGACCTGGTAATTTCAGATATGATTTTATCATTTAGGAGTTGGCTGTCTCCTGAGCCCGGCTTCTCAACCACCGTCGATTTTCATTGTCAGTAGCTAACACTAATAAAATTGTTTTTCCTGGAGGCTAGTGTGTTAGGAAATTAATTTTATTTAATTATGTGAATTGCACTGTCACTTTTCACACTGTAATTAAAATGCAACTTGTCAGGTCCCGGCTCACTCTTTCTTGCATTGTATCTTCCTAGAGGACAGTTCAGAAAAATGCAAAATATGTTTGCCTGGCTAATAAAAATTGCCCAGTGGATAAGCGCCGTCGAAACAGATGTCAATACTGCCGATTTCAGAAGTGTCTCAGTGTCGGCATGGTAAAAGAAGGTAAGAGTTTGCTATTATTAGCCTGCACATCAGACTACAAAACGGCTTGAGTGCAAAAGGAGGGACCCTAAAGGAATTGTGATTTTTAGAAATAACAGTGAATGTCCTTGTTTTTACACGTTGCGTAACAATGACTTTACAACAGATGTTGGGTCTCTTATTCCAAATAACATGGATTCTTCAGAGGTTCTTTAGATATGGGAGCAGGAAAGTAGAACTTTTAAAAGGAAGGTTTTCCACACCAATTATTTAGTCTGTTCTCCTTGCTTTTTTACATAGTTCTTGTTTCATTGAGTCCTGTCTCCCTCTATTTGAATAGCCCAATCCTATACATAGCCTAGTTAGAAAAAAGCCCTGCTATGTTGAATGGGGCTTATTGCATTGTACTCTCATCATATTCATGTAAATACTGCCACTTTCCTTTTCTCAAAATTATTAGGTACTTTATAGACATGGAACAAGCAAATAATATCCTTTTTGCTATCATAATTGATAAAAGTGTTTCAGGGCTGCAAGCCTTTTTATCCATTAAATATAGAGATTTATCAGTAGAAGTTTTAATAGATTAATGTTGGGGCTAATTTGAAATGGTGAGGTCACATTTTAATCAATGTGATTTGGGTGTTTGTTTTTTTAAAAGGCTATGTTTAGTTTTGGTGTTTTCCCGTAAAAGGACATTTCCAAGAAAAATATGTTATTTGTTTTGTTGATTAGAAAATAAACCTCATCCCCCACACAAAAGAAATTGCTGAAAGCACCTTATGACTTAAATGCAACAACAAAATACAAATTAGCAAAACTAAAAAACGGCAGTAGAAGCACAAAGGGTGCTTAAGTCATACTCCAAGAAGACCCAGTGAAATCAGTAGACTGACTTATAAGTTAGTCATGGCTAACTTTAAGGCCACTGACACAGTTGCTGGCAGGCAATATATCCACAGAATCAAAAGCTTTTTTAAAAAAAAGTTACCAGTTGTCAGCAGAACCACAAATAAAGAGGCAGAATAACCGAACCCCTTGGGGCAGAGAGTTCCACAGACGGGGCACCACCACAGAAAAAGCCCTTTCATGTGTTCCCACCAAAGGCAATGGCAATTTAATATTTGGCTTTCCTTCACTTATGTGTGGAAGCTATTTTTAACTCCCATCGGTATCTAAAATAATTATACTGAGGGTTGAATTTTGTGTGTATTATTCAATCAGTTGAAAAGCAAATAATTTGTCAGAGCCACTGGCTCGAGTGTCACACTAGGACCTGGTAGTTCCCTGTCCAACCATTAAGATCCCCGATCTTGGCCAGTCACAATCTCTCACCATAGCCTACCTTTCAGGGGTGGTGTGAGGATAAAATGGAGGAGAATCATGTACACCATGTCAGGCTCCTTGGGGGGAAGGAGTAAAATAAAGAAGCTTGATATGCAGCACTCTGTCTTCTCAGAAGTAAGCCCAATTGGGTTCAGTGGCATTTACTCAGGAAGTGTGTGGCTGCAGCCCTGTGCACACTTAACTGGGAGTAAGTCTCATTCAAATCAATGGGACTAACTTCTAAGTAGACGTATCAAAAATAGCTCTGTAAAACTGTTGAATTCTTGACAGCCTTGTTTTATCTAAAATCATTAATACAGACTGAGCTGAATACTTCAAGAGAAGAGAATTGCCATCTAGTTCATGTTTTCAGTCAGTTACAAGATGTATTTGTCAATATTATATTTCATTTTTATATATGGCTGTCTCTTGAATCTTTAGTGCTAATTGCAAATGCAAAAGTATTCGTTTTTAGCAGTGCTGTGGTTAACGCATGACAGTCAAGCATGTACAAATTTAAATCATGCAAGACTCATAAAATGCTTGTAATCTCCGCCCCCCCCCTTGCCTATAAATGTTACAGAATAGACAGGATAGTGCTCTAGTGAATACTGACTATTGGTACAATAAGTGTTGTTGTTTTACATAATCTCCATTTGTGTAACTGCTGTGAACTGAAAACTGCATGTTTAAGGAAGGGAGATCGATAGACAGCTTTCTTGTCTGTTTTGATTTCCCTCGTATTAATTAGGCAAAAAGCTGACCGTGTAATGTTCACGTGTATCTTCTTGGAATTTGCCTCTGAAGACTGATGGTGTGTGTTTTTTCTTTTCCCTCCTCCTTGATCAGTTGTCCGTACCGACAGTTTGAAAGGGAGAAGAGGCCGACTGCCTTCCAAACCAAAGAGCCCTTTGCAGCCAGAGCTTCCTCAGCCCTCGCCACCTTCTCCTCCAGTCAGTATGATGAATGCTCTTGTGCAAGCGTTATCCGATTCCGCACCCAGAGAGCTTGATTATTCCAGAGTAGGTTTTGTGCTTTTCTATATAGAATTAGTTGTTTTTTTTTGATGACCAATGGCTTTTAGCAAATATATTTGGCCAGCTGATACATAGGATTCTTTACCAACCGTTGTGTTTTAATGTATGAAATACCGGTAAATGCCGGATGCAGGTAGAACAAGTGGGTGGTTTCTCGCCGCAGTAAGGGGTGCTTTGTGACTGTATAGCATTTTGCCAGAAGTTGTCTTTGGTTGCAGCAATGCTGCAGAATGGTTTCATTTTATTCCTGAAATTGGTCAGGGCTTCATGCATGATTCTGTAATACAGAGAGTAGAAAGTAACAAAAGGAACCCCATGAAATTTAAATGATTTGTGAATCATAAGTGTGTTTCAGTCCAGTCATTTGCATCTTTACTTGGAAGTAAGTCCCCTTAAATCCAATTAGTAACTGTGGTTAGAACCAAGGAGTAAGGAAGACTGGAATTTTTCCGTGGTTTCTCATATACATCAGCCAGCACTATTGGACCCAATCTTCCACCATTTCAAAATTTCCACATACAGTAAGCCCACAAGTTAGGCACATTTAACTTGTGCACATTCAGCTTTATGCGCTTGGCCAAATTTTTTAAAAAGTAATTAATAAGAATAAAAATAAAAATATTAGAAAGGGGGCAAGTGGCACCCAGGTGAAAAGACTTTGGCAATCGCACCCACATTCCAATGTGCTTTGACTATATGTGATTTTGGCTTTAGGCACCATGCCCAGAATTTAACCCCTGTGTAAGTTGTGGGTTTCCTGTATCTTAAGTGAAAGCGAGACTCTGACCTCAGGAATGTGCTTTGTCTCTGAAGTGAAAAGCCATCACCTCAAAATGAAAAGATAGCCCACCGCTTGACAAATCCCTAGTCATAAATCTTATCATAATTTTATGCTTTCATTCGGTGTGTTTCATTTGGGATGGTTTGCAATCTGGAGCATTAAAGTTAGTTATGTACACAAATAATAGTTAAAGCTGCCTTGGGGGTGGAGATCGGGACCCAGAACCTAAACATGTTTCCCAATTAACATAATCAGTGGGGCCTACTTCCAAGTAACTTTTGGGGATTGGAGAATAAAATATTTTTGTATTTTATTCACGATGGTTAGTATCCACTGCTTTTGTGTAGTTCTAATGCATGAGGTTTTTTTGGTGGAGCATCTGTTTACACAGAAGTAGTTTGAGAGTGAGCACTTAAGATTTCAGTTGGATTTCATGAGTCCTATTGCAGAATGCAACTCTTGTTGAGAAGCCTGTGTAAACATGCTGATTATGTTTTAATTGGCAATATTTTGTTCCAAGATCGTATTGCTGATCAGCATTTTAGATTTACCTGGGTACATAAACTTTGAGCAGTCAGCACAGCTTAGCAAAATTTTGTTAAATAAAATTCGTTTAATATTAACTATTGATTAGTATTAACTATTGGCTAAATATGTTTGCCCAGTTTTTCCACATGCCTTACATAGGGCTGGTTCATCTTTATTAAATACTTTGCAGAATCAGTGTGGACCTTCTAACACACAACAGTAGTTTCATGACCAGCCAGGATTTTGAGCCAGAGTCATCCTAGATAACTTGAATTGATGATCCTTAGACGCTATACAGTTATGCTAGAATTTATTTTGACTTGCTGCTAATGTTTTAGGGCTGGTATTAGCTTACCCAACCCATAGCAACAGTATATTTAGAAACTGGCTTTCAAAAAGCAGTCACTAGGAGGAAACCCTTTCAAGGGCATCAGGCCTCATTCGGGTCTCCCACCTGTTTTTACACTGTTCCAACTCCATTTCAGACATGCACTGTGTCAAGGCGACGAGAATCTATCCTTAAACCAATTTTTTATTCAGACAAACCTCTTGTTGAGTTCAGTGAGAATTCTGCCCCATGCAGTGACTCTGGGAGATCATAAATTAACAAGGAGTGTTTGCCTAGCGCTAAACCCAGGGTTTCAAACCTTGTGTTACCTTCACAAGACTAGAGTCAAAATGACAGCATTTGCAGGGGACCACCGGCAGGAGGGAAAACTGAGCTCCTTCTCAACTTGCTCATTCTATCCTGCAAATGCCCCCTGGGCAATATATACCCCCACAGTCAGGCTTGAAAATCAAAAGTGAGTCCCAGCTGGAGGTTTGTTTAGTTAGGTATTTTTATACTGCCCTTTACCGCAAGAGTCACAGGACAGTGTGCAGCAAACTGCATTGCACTGAACTGGAACTGGAGGGAAGGCTTGTGATTAAGGACCACAAAATATGATTAACATAACTCAGCCTTTTGGAAGTGAATTCCTTCCCCTTCCTTCCTTTTAAAACAACAAACTTAAAATATACTTTTGGATTACTAAGGATATCAAATCAAGCAAACATAGACAGCTTAAAGTTTCATTAGTAATGTGGCAGATGAGACAGGCACAACCCAACCAATTTAGTAGGTTCTAAATTCAGAAGTTTTACATTTACATTTCTGATGTTTACATTGGTGACATACTTAATAGACATTATGCTAGCTTGGGCCACATCTGGTTGTTTTTCCCCCATCAGTTTCTCTCTCTCTAATAAACAGTTGGCAACCTTTTAACTCCCCTTCCTTTTATATACAATTAATAAAATTTCTGCAACACATTTCTACACCAGATATACCCCCAATCAATACACAATCTCCACTAAAGTTTCTGAGCAGCACCTGCCGTTCACTGGAGTGGTTGGTGCATTCAGCTTAGGGGCTCACACCATGGTAGACAGCAGGAGCTGGATGGGCCTCTGAACCCCCAGAATCTTTGGGGATCTGCACTGTTAAGCCTCTTGGCTGGTAATACTCTTTAGGGAGACTAAAAACAAAAAACAACAACTTTGCTGCGTTTCCACATCAGATTGCCTTCAGTTCACAAGAATTCAGTTGTGCTTCTTTCTTTCTCGTGGCACTATTTTTATTGGTTAGGGAGGACAAAAGATATTAGCAAGGGCTGCCAGGTTGCAACTTGCAAACCAGAGGTCACACCTTTTACCAATAATGCATTTGAGTTCTTGCCACCCAGTCCCTTGCTTCCCAGATCTCATTAGTCACCCCCTCCCCCCCCCATCTGCTGTAGGGGGCAGGGACTGAGGTTCTGCAAATTGCAGCAGAAAGGCGAAGAGGAGCTATGGGAAGGATGCGGCAAGAGAGTAACAGCAGCAGTAATCTCTGCCACTGCACATGTGCATTTAGGTTTCAAGTTCAACCTGCAAAGAAGCTGTGCTGATAACAAGCATCACTTTTATCTGCTTAGAAAATAAATATATTTTAGGCAAGTAATTTATTATGGTCACAGGCCAGTAAAATTCAGTACAAAGAGGCATGACATCTAGTAACAAATACACTGGAACAAATACAGCCAGCAAGTTTTTATTTTAATTTTTAAAAAAATGCATCATGGTTGGGGGAGATCCTGGCAACCCTCTTGGAGACACAAGAGGATACATACATTTCAAGATGTTTCTTTTATAGCACACCCCTCCCCAGCCACTTAATTTTTTTACACTCGCTAATTACATATCCGGCCGTCATCCTGGCATACAAACTTACAAGTCGTTTATATATTCCCTGCTTAACCGTGGAGTCCTAAAATGGAGGGGGAATGTAAACATGAAGGCCATTTAACCAACTTGTCCAGCAGAACTCCAGCTCCCATCAGCACCAGACATGGTGGTCATTGGTCAGGGATTGTGGGAGATGTAGTCCAGTGATTTCTGGAGGGCTTCAGGCTCCCCATCTCTGATTAAGTATTCAAGCCCCTGTTTGTAGATCTATCAAATGGGAATGCTAACATGCTTGTCAAGAAATATTATTTGTGAAAAGCTAGTGAAAAGTTGTTTTTTAAACTTTCAGACATAAATATATTGTCAGGGGGAAATCTGAAGCGGGCCTTTGCCCCTAAATATGGCAGTAATAAGTTGTGCAGCCCTGCCCTTCAAAAATGTTTCAGGTCATTCCAGTTTTCTTTTAATTTCCCTTGACATTCGTACAAAAGTTTCACCTGAGTGGAATCGTCCAGATTTCCCCCTGAATTTCACTTTAGATGAACTTCTCTGGCAACTCTGTTGGTACCCAGTATAGCTTGGCCTCACAGTTGTATATCCTGTAGCAGTAGTAGAACATGCTTTTAAAGGGTGGAGATGAAGAATTAGGAGCTAGTGGAAGATGATGGGAACTGATCTGCAAACAATTGAAGGAAATGGGATGTGGGGAATGGTGGCATCATTCTTCTAAGTCGGGGTGGCCTCCTGTGGCTTTCCTTGACGTTCCTGGACTCCTAGCTCCCCTTGGCACTGGCTGCTGCAGTTGGGATCAGGAAAACATTCCCACAACCCACAAAGTAATTGATCCTACAAATTTAGAGACGAGAACTTGAGATGGGGTTTTAGGCAAAGCAAAACCCAGGTAACGCACAGTGTGCATTTCCACCTCAACGTTTTAGCATTAGTACGCATTTGCTCAAACATCACTTTCACATTGTTATAAAAGAGCATGTCTGATGGCCCTTTTGAGCGATGCGAATGCGGGGCCAGACTGCCCATGAGGCGAGGTGAGGCGACTGCCTCAGATGGCAGGATCCACAGGGGCGGCAGAACTGGTCTCCAAAGACCAGATCACGCACTGCAGCACCACAGCAGCTGCAGTGCGCTCCATAGAGGCCAGACCCACCCACCCCTGTTCTTGATGAAGATCTTCACTCCCATTTTCTTCCCTGGTGAGGAGAGTGCCATTCTGTGGTTTACCTCAGGTGCCAAAATGTCTTGGGGCCAGCCCTGTCAAGTGTTTGGTGGAAAAAATCATGTTCTAGATTAGTTTTTTGGAGTACTATACTACCAGTCATTCTGTGGGATAGATTAAAAGGTAAAGGTACCCCTGCCCGTATGGGCCAGTCTTGACAGACTCTAGGGTTGTGCGCCCATCTCACTTAAGAGACCGGGGGCCAGCGCTGTCCGGAGACACTTCCGGGTCACATGGCCAGCGTGACAAAGCTGCATCTGGCGAGCCAGTGCAGCACACGGAACGCCGTTTACCTTCCCGCCAGTAAGCGGTCCCTATTTATCTACTTGCACCCGGGGGTGCTTTCGAACTGCTAGGTTGGCAGGCGCTGGGACCAAGCAACGGGAGCGCACCCCGCCACGGGGATTCGAACCGCCGACCTTTTGATCGGCAAGCCCTAGGCGCTGAGGCTTTTACCCACAGCGCCACCCGCGTCCCGTGGGATAGATTAGTTTGAGCCAATAGCCCAGAGTCACCCAGTACTCTTTATGGGCAAGCAGGGGTGTTAAACCCAGATCTCCCTTGCCTTTAAGAACTGGAGTTTGCTTTCCCCTCTTCCCTCCCACTCCCTTTTCCTTACATGTTGTATCTTTTTAGATTGTGAGCAGGAGGGCAGGAACTGCCGCAACTGCTCCAGGAGCCTTTTTGGCTAAAGGGTGAGGTACAAATATATAAGTAAATAATACATAAAGTCCACGCCAGCTCTCATAACCATTTTAGTTTCAGAGAGACTGTAATGGCAGCAAAGCGGGCTGATTAAAGGATGCTTTTGACTGATACAACTCTCATGTAAGAGTCAGGAAGCCCTGAGGCATGGTTTAGGAGTTGAGGTGCTTATGAATTGTCATCTTTACTGTGTCTGTGTAGAATAAGCATTCAGAGCTACACATATAAAAACAAAGCACACCTGACAATTTGTATAAAATCTGCTTTTGCTTGGCAGAAAAGAGGTTAAGAAGAATACTGTGATATTTCTCAAAAACCTATTTCCCCTTTTCTCTTTTCAAAAATAATTTCATTCTAGTACTGTTCCACTGAGCAGACTTCCACAGGTACAGATGCAGAACATGTGCAACAATTCTATAATCTTCTCACTGCCTCCATTGACATATCCAGGGTCTGGGCAGAAAAAATCCCAGGATTTACAGACCTCCCAAAGGAAGATCAAACTCTACTCATAGAATCAGCGTTTTTGGAGCTCTTTGTATTGAGAATGTCCATCAGGTAAATCTGAGGTTCATTTTGTCGAGATGTCATGACTTATTAATATTTTAAAATATAACTGTGAGGTCATTAACTCTGTTGTTTCTAAAACTATACTAGAGAGCTGTGCAAGTTGAGCTCTGCCTTTGGAATAGGCAGGATCTCTGGGCTGACATGTGTCAGTCAGACTTGTTTACTTGGTCAAGGGCTTAATTTGCGTGCCAAGTAAATTATGAGTCAAGAAAAGATTCCCCTGGATAATTGGAATTCTTGATCCCTTCTCTGCGTGTGGTTTTTCTTTTCTTGGCATGACTTTGTGAAAGTTGCTTTGATTGTGCAGAGGTGGGTAAAGGAAAGTTGAGTGCAAACATGATAGAAGTGTCCTATAGATATTTACTGCAAGCATGACTGAAGGACTCCCATTAAAACACAAACAAACCCTTCTCCCTACATACGCAAAATTAGATGCGCAGGAGAAGGGTTCTTGCATGTTTTTTCAGGGATCTGCAACTCAGCTGAAATGAGATTACTATGTGATTGGCTGTTTTTGTAGACCTGCCCCAAAGATTTAGTCTTGCCAATCCATTTTATTCAGACTTCTTTCCAAGCAAACATGTACTAGTGTGCAAATGATGTGCTGTTAACAATGGCACATACCACTCTAACAACGTTCATAACGTGTGTCTTTTTACATTCAAGATCTGACACTGCTGAAGATAAATTTGTTTTCTGCAATGGACTTGTGCTTCATAGACTTCAGTGCCTTCGTGGATTTGGGGAGTGGCTCGACTCAATTAAAGACTTTTCCTTAAATTTACAGAGCCTCAACCTTGACATCCCAGCCTTAGCATGCTTATCAGCTCTAAGTATGATGACAGGTAAGAGCACTTTCAATTTTTAAAAATCTCTTGATTTAAAAAAATAAATCTCTCTGCTAATATTTTTTAGAGATAATAAGGTGTTTCAGTAAGTGCCCATCCACTTTTACAATATTATAAAAAGATATGTCATTCTTAAATGCTTGCAAAGGCTAGACTGGCAAGAGTTGCAATAGTGAATTATTCCAGTTCATAAAGCCCTTACTGCTATGTTTTCCTTGAGATCATTTTCTCTGTGATATTTCACTTGCCAAAAAATTGCATTACACGTTCTCAGTCCTGTAAGTTTCCCATTTCTGGCATTATCATTAACTGATACTTCTTTGTGTTCAGTCAAAGGCAAATCATAGGCTGCAGTAAATATTTCATTGGAGAAAGGGCTTTCTTGCTAAGAATGTGATTTGTGTTCAGTCCTGATCAAAGTTAGTCTGCCTAAATTCCTGTGAAATCAATGATATGTTGGAATAAGTCCTGGATTTCAGCTCTACTGATCTTGGGCCAAATCCTGCCACTTTCATTTGGAATTGTGCAGCAGGCAAGAAATGCGTAACACAGCAACACTCCCTGCAGAAGTGTTTTATTGGCCAGCAGGCACCGGTAGGCCATTTCCCGTGGCGCATGGCATGTGGGTGAGCCACTCCTCTTTAGGGGGAGTGTGTTCAAGACAAGCACTCCTAACCCAAATCAGACCATGAGCCCACTACCAGGTCCACCTCGTATGGATAAAGCTTCAGCCGGTTGTATCCCTTGCAACAGATGAAGCAGAGACCCACGCTTTCCACTGTCTCCTTGGGGGTGCATGGAAGCAATCCTAGCATCAGAATCTTGATGCCTCCACTGCCCAAATCTCTAAGTGAGATTTTGTCTGCAGCTTCATATAGAACAAGGGTCCTGCTTCTAAGTCTTACTCTCCAGGAACAAGCAAAGCCCCCAGGTTCCCAAAACCATTTGCAGAAGAATACTGTGGTATGAAGAGGGACACGGGTGGCTCTGTGGGTTAAACCACAGAGCCTAGGACTTGCCGATCAGAAGGTCGGCGGTTCGAATCCCCGCAACGGGGTGAGCTCCCATTGCTCGGTCCCTGCTCCTGCCAACCTAGCAGTTCGAAAGCATGTCAAAGTGCAAGTAGATAAATAGGTACCGCTCTGGCGGGAAGGTAAACGGCGTTTCCATGCGCTGCTCTGGTTCTCCAGAAGCAGCTTAGTCCTGCTGGCCACATGACCCGGAAGCTGTACGCCGGCTCCCTCGGCCAATAAAGCGAGATGAGCGCTGCAACCCCAGAGTCATCTGTGACTGGACCTCACAGTCAGGGGTCCCTTTACCTTTACTGTGGTATGAAAAGCTGCCGAGAGGTCCCAGGCTTTCAATTGGTTCAAATTGGTTGGTGGAGGGGTAAGTGCCTACCCCTCCAATGGTGGTGCGGAAAAGGAATTCCATTAAAGGAATCCAGGGGCTTGCCATCCCTTTCGTCCTAGTCCCTGGCATCAGACTTGGGCCGTGCAAGCCCCAGGGGGAATGAGGGTGAGAGATGTCCAGCTTCATTTCTCCCCAATATGGTTCTCCCTGTCTAGCTTCCGCTGGAATCCGGAAGTCCGTCCTGTCTCCCTGACTGGCTTCCACTGGAATCCGGAGGTCAGTTCTGTCCCTGCGGCAAGGACAGATAGTCGCAACCAATGCCTAAGCAACCACTCACGTGTGTGTATTTAAATAAAGTTGTGGCCAAATTCATGCCAAAAACCTTAAACAAAAATTGATGTGTGAAGTGTGAGTTATTGGGGGTGGCCTGGGGGACCTCGACTTGCAACTTTCTCTTCCCAGGCAATATGGTGCAGAGTACCAATTAGCAGGAGAGAGAAAGCAACAGTCAAGGAGGGCTACCTCTCCAGTTGATGGGCTTCCTGGAGGCTTCTCCGGAAAACCTTATAAAGGCCTAGAAGGACCTTCTTATGTTTTCCATATCTGTTACCACCTACCGTTTGTCACAAGTTTGGTGGAAGGTGGAGTATAGGGAAAGCTTTTCTTAAGATTCAGGGTTTTCTAATATAGCACTTTACACAAGGCAATAAAATCATTTTTTCCCAGCCCTGAAATATCTGGCTTGGAGATTGCTTTCTCTCCAGCCCTTTTTACAGGTAAATAAGCTGCAAAAAGTAGAAGATAATCAAAATAGCAAAGCTTGGTTGAGGTGCTTTTCATTTCTTAGAAGAGTGTCTGAATTCCTGATGGAATTCCAGGCCTAGCACTGATGGAGCTCACAGTGGATATTGATCTCCACTTGAATTCACTGAATAAATAATGGTTGCCATAGTTATAGAGTATTCACAACTGGTAGGGAAGCTGGGAGATCTCCAAAACACCTTCTGTGACAGTTCTGCCATCAAATCCTCCAATGAAACTATGGCACTAAAATTATGTATACATCATCTAGATCCCTTTCTCTTCACCTGTGGCCACATAAACATTTTGGTCTCTTAACTGGAGAAGGCATTTTTTAAAGACATTAGTGGTGTTTTAAAACCAAACTACTGCATGTCTTTAACTGCCACACCTCACCCTGACATTCACATCTCGATACTGTAGTTACTATGTAATGTAGTTAGTAATGAGCAGCCTTTTAGTATAAATAAGAGGAGCTGACAAATTGATCATAAAACATGGGTGCTCACTTGCGTTCTCTCCTGTTGCTTTGCAGAACGACATGGCTTAAAAGAACCAAAGAAAGTGCATGAACTATGCAACAAGATCATGAGCGGCTTTAAAGATCACTTGGCCTTCAGCTGCCAAAGCAAAGGACAACTTTTTGAGCCTGTGGAGTCCAAAGTGCTTGGGGTCCTTGCTGACTTGCGCTCCCTCTGCACCCTCGGACTGCAGCGGATCTTTTACCTGAAATTGGAAGATTTGGTGCCGCCTCCTTCCATTATTGACAAACTGTTTCTGGATACCTTACCATTCTGAGGTTCAAATTACCCTCGTGAAGGGCAACTGTCTACCAGAGCAGGCAAAAAAAAAAAAAAAAGACTGAAAACTTTATGCTAACAATGCTGCTCTCATTTAACTGGCGGGAAAAGCAATTCCAGCCCTGAGCATTGGACTTCGCCTAATGAATTTCCTTGCAAGCTGCCTAAAATGTATCTACAGGTCTGGAGCTAGGAAACTGGAGAGAGGGAGCGTTGAGTGCAGTTTTTGTTTTTTAATCACTAATATGGCACTTTTGAACGATGCTACCCCAGCAGGAAAAAATCTATTGCATAGCACCTCATCTTAAGTGGTGAGCAGAAAATTGTAGATGCTGTGTGTTTGAAAATAGTAGTGTTTGAAAACAGTAACAATGGCAAATTGTTCATGCAGGTAGTATGTCTTTTATAGTTTATACCTTTAGCATACTTCCTGTACCAAGGGCACATTAACCTGGCACAAATGAAAAATTCTCTCTCTTTTTTTCTAATGTTGATTCATGTTTCGTATCAATCTGATATAGCAAAATGACAACGGCTGTTAACTCCCATGGTCAAGTGCAATTTTTAAAGTCTTGTTTGTTAATTATAATTTATTTTAATATAAAAAGTAAATGGAAATAGCAAGAGTGAGGGGGGGGCATAGTTTTTACATGCACTAACTTCCATGATAAAGTTTCTCAAACTTTGGATCCATGTAACATGACTTCCTAACATGCCAATATGGGGGTGGGGGTGGAGTGGAGTGGAGAGGAAAGGCAGAAAGAAGCAATTTGTGATGAGGCCACATTCTTACGAAGTAAGTCACGATGCATAGCAACCGAAAGGGTCAGCACCATGCATAGTTACAGTTTAGAACTGAATTTAGCAAATTGATTAGTAAGGATACAAGACAGTTTGGAAGAAGAACAAGTCTTGTAAAAAATAGTCTGAATGTAAATGCTAGAAAGGTTTTAGTGGGCTGCATTTTAAACATTCCGTGTATGTACTCCCTATTTTGTATGTTTATACTGTTGATGCTATATTAATATGAAACTATTTGTTGCATAGTGTCTTTATTTGTATAAATATTTGCATGAATAATATATTGTAAAACTTCGCCTGTATTTATTGCAATGACTGCCCGCTCCTGGGAGCCGCGTTACACAGATCAACAAAATAGTGCATTCACACTGATTCAGTTGAGTGTGGGTAGTTCACACACACATATAGGTGTGCATTTCTATTAACCAGCTGTATATAAAATTCATCCTTCCACAAGTAAACTTTATCTTACTGTTTTATTTGCAGTGACTTTTAAGGCAGTACAATTTAGCACTTTGATATTAAAAAATTTGCTCATGTTTGGTAACATAAATAATATTTAAATATTTTAGTTCTTTACAAAAAAAAGATTATATGCACTGTATTAAGTTAAGATTGGTCATTTTGCTAAAAAGACGAAGAAAAGAAAACATTTTGAATGTCAATTTCATGCCCCAGTATCTTTTTTTGTTAACGGTCTACAGTAATTTTGTATTTTTTAAAAAAACTGTATAGAAATTATACAATCAAACAGATGCCAAATTAACTGCCTAATAGATGCATTGGACAACCTAGATATCAAGTTATTATCTCACTTTTAAAAAGGCTGGTATTTTATCTTTATATTTGGGTGTGCTTTTGGGGGGAAACATATTATTATTCTCAAGACTGGTAATGGTATCAACAGGAAAAGTTATATTATAAGTTATATTTTCAGTTTTCCTTCAGATATTTTAAAAATTACTGCTTTTTTAGTATTGACTTCATGGGCAAACAGAATAGCATGATTAAATATCTGAGGAAACAGCTTTTTATTGCAGGTAAATTTTACTTGTTGAACTGTAAAGCAATCATATTTTGATTTTGAATTCATGCACCCAATCAGAAGAGAATTTAAAAGGCATGCTAATGTGTTTGCCACATGTGCAAAATATATAACTCACTAGAGGTAATAAGAACCTCTGACAGTAATTTAATTTTTCACTTTCATTCTCTTTCTGGAGACACACAAACCACAGTTCTCATTTGGCAGTAAATGGAATATGAAGGGTTGCTTTTTTATAATAATAGGCAAACAAAGTTTATTAGAAAGAATATGCTTTTGTAGTTGTAAGAATTTTTTTAGTTAATATATTTTCAATATTCAAATAAAATGCAAACATTTTTGAAAGTTTGTGGTACAGAATTAGTTCAAAACACTTCTCAGAATCCCTTCTCCATTCAGTTAATTTCTGAGCTGTCCAAATTTCCGGGGCTCAGAGACAGTGATGATAACTCATCCATGGCATAATAAATATTCCCACAGTTAAATTTCCTGTGATCATTTGTGTTTCAGTTCCATAGATTTTTTTTTTTTTGGGGGGGGGACATCATCTTTGTTACCTATGGATAATTATTTTTTTAAGTTGATCAGTTTGTTCATACAGGATAGTCACTGACAAATCTCAAGAGTGAAAAACGAAACGAAATGCAAAGCCAGTTCTGCTACTCCTTTTCTTAGAAACTTCCCAGTGTGAACATGCCTTGTTTCATATACTAAAATCAGGAATATTACAGCTGTTAATGGAGAGTGCCTTGTTTTTATTTCTATTTCAGATAACAGAGTGCTTCAGAAGTTTTCTGTTCCTCTAACAGCAATGCTTCTGTTTTGTGAATGTGTTAACCTGTAGGGTTGAAAGAAATGCTCTTCTACATATCCAGTGTAAATTAAAATGATTAAATTGAATTAACTTTTCCCCCAGAGGCCCTATTTGTATTGAATTTTGCTGAATTATGATGTGATTTTTTTTATCTCTTAGATCTGCTGTGGTTTAAAACCTGGGAGCAAGCTTAGAACACTGAAAAAATAGCAGGAACTTGGTTTGCGTATCTTGAGAAATAAATCATTGCATTGAAAAGCGCAGCCTCTTGATAACCTTACTATATTATAGAGGATATATATGCAGTATGTGGGCTTTCATTTTTTCATTTTTTATTTTACTGATTTGGTTTTTTCTGCTATCGTAAGTCCTGCCAGAGCAGTGGGGGAAGCATAACTACAGTTTGTGTTTTTTAGACCACCAGTTCAACAGTTTAATGTCCATAATGCACACATTATTTTTGTGCATCCATGAGAATGCATGATCTTTGACCAGGACATGAAAAACAGTTGTTTCTACTGATTCCACACCCGACCAGCAGAATGTGTGTTAATATAAGCTTTCTCATTATTAATTCATTTATTTAAAGTGAATTAAGAATTAGAAAGCTTATATCAATACACATATTTAAATTCAAAACATGATTGCCAAAAGTATTTAAAAATGTACAGCCCACTTTCCTTTTGAAATGTGCTATGGGGAGCACCTCATGATTTGACTTACTTATTTTGTGCAGTGCTAAAATTGTTTATATGCGAGTAACTTTCCACAGTTCTGTCACATTGGACCTGCCCAAGAATATTCGGATTACTCAGTACTTGTAATAATTAACGTTGGGGGGGGGGGATATCACCTGTTTGTGCAAAGGGTTGCAAACCCAAGAAAAATCAAAAGGAATCTCAGGATGCTATGAAGATGAATGGTGAGCCTTGCTTCTAATCTTAACCCAAGCAAAGACTGGGACATTACTAAAAAAATAATAATACAGTGGTACCTCGCAAGACGAATGCCTCGCAAGACGGAAAACTCACAAGACGAAAGGGTTTTTTGGTTTTTTGAGCTGCTTCGCAAGACGATTTTCCCTATGGGCTTGCTTCGCAAGACAGAAACGTCTTGCAAGTTTGTTTCCTTTTTCTTAAAACCGTTAATACAGTTGCAACTTGACTTCGAGGAGCAACTCATAGAACGCGGTGTGGTAGCCTTTTTTGAGGTTTTTGAAGACTTTGGTGATTTTTGAAGCTTTTCCAAAACTTTCCCGAAACTGTGCTTCGCAAGACGAAAAAATCACAAGACGAAAAAACTTGCGGAACGAATTAATTTTGTCTTGCGAGGCACCACTGTAGCTCAAACCTCTTCCTTGCCCCAGATACTGGAGTCAGTGGGCCTGAATGTCTTTTACATCAGACTGTAGTGACATCAAAAGTGACATACAGTGGTGCCTCGCAAGACGAAATTAATTCGTTCCGCGAGTTTTTTCGTCTTGCGAAGCACGGTGTCGGAAAAGTTTTGGAAAAGCTTCAAAAATCACAGAAGTCTTCAAAAACCTCAAAAAAGGCTACCACACCGCATGCTATGAGTTGCCACTGTACACAAGACTGATGTCAAATGCTAATAATATAATTGACAGTTTGGGATATACCAGATTTTTCATAGCCCTTAAGCAGTCTTAGATTTTGCATTTACCGTTGCAATTTAAACTTCAGATGGCTTCGCTTCACTTTTTACACAGGAGTATTACTATAAAAATGAGCCAAAGCTTGCAGGATGCGCCAGAGGAGTTGTGCCTGCTGAGTTTAAGCAGCCTGTTTACAAAAATGTCCATTTTCAGTCACTTTCACTGCTGTATAGCGTCACAATCAGAATATGGGTTTGTCTGAACCAGCATTGCATCGTGATAGTCTAATGCTAAAAGTCCCCCATCAACTACCGGGCAGTGTGTCAAACTAATCCGGCAACAATGACACTTATGTCAATTTCTTCCTCCGGCATGCAGAGAAAGAGAGTGAAGCCCATTTCCGGTTTGTAAGCAAGAACAGGGTGGTGCACCTGAAGGTGGTGCTTGGGTGGAAGATCCTGAGAGAGGGACAGGGAAGGGAAGACCTCTGGAGGTGGGAGACTGGGAGAAGACAGGGAAGCTCCCAGGTGAGAGCTGGGAGAAGCCACCCCTTTCTGTGTGAGACAAGGGGTAAGAGCTACCTTTGAGAGAGTAGTAGTAAATAAATGAATGAATGAATGAATGAATGAATGAATGTTAAGTTGTGGGTGAACATATCAGACGACACAGCGATTCTTCAAACAGCTCTTGTTTATTCACAGGCCAGAACAGAACTGAACTGAAGGGTTCAGCCAGCCTGCTTATATAGAGCTCCACTAGAACGCAACAGTAACCATTTTCTGTAACTATCCAATCACTGAACGTCACTTTCAATCCCTTATTTGCATATGTGGACCTGAGTGAAAACTATCTACATTATCCCCCTGCTGGCCCCGGGTGAGAACTTCAGTACATAAAAATAATATTTTATTTATATCCTGCCCTCCCCAGCCGAAGCCGGGCTCAGAGCAGCTAACAACAATAAAAGTAACACAGCATTCTAAAATCAATTCGAAATCAAATTGATGGCAACCACTGGGCTAGAGTTCTGTGAGGATCGCCAAAGGAGGGAGTCAGGCTGTGTCCTGGCCAAAGGCCTGGTGGAACAGCTCTGTCTTGCAGGCCCTGTGGAAAGATGTCAAGTCCTGCAGGGCCCTAGTCTCTTGTGACAGAGCGTTCCACCAGATCGGGGCCACGGCTGAAAAAGCCCTGGCTCTGGTTGAGGCCAGCCTAACCTCCCTGTGGCCCGGGACCTCCAAGATGTTTTTGTTTGAAGACCGTAAGGTCCTCCATGGGACATACCAGGAGAGGTGGTCCTGTAGGTACGAGGGTCCTAGGCTATTTAGGGCTTTAAAGGTTAAAACCAGCACCTTAAACCTGATCCTGTACTCCACCCGGAGCCAGTGCAGCTGGTATAGCACCGGGTGAATGTGATCCCACGGCGAGGACCCCGTAAGGAAGACTTTGCATTTCCCTTTCTCTGTTTTTGTTTTTATTTAGATGAGTTTCCTTTACCTTGCTGTAGCATGAAAAAGCTTTAATGAAACCTTATGGGAAGAAAGAACAGTGGGGTGGACAAACAAGCCACCTCTAGCACTGTGACTAATCTTAAGTGTAGATGCAAGCAAACCAAATTATACCAACATTGTCTCCCATCTGACGTCTGCCGGTTATTTACCTTTCAGCTTGTAGTCAACCTGTAGATAAATATTATCTTTAATAACCAAATATACTGAGCAGAAGTCCTTCTAAAGTGTGTGTGTGTGCGCACACACACATACACTTTGGGCGGTGTGGGTCTAGCCTTCTGCAGAAGCTGGTTTCTTGGTTACCTCCAACCTCCAACCTACCAGTTTAATACTTGAACTTTCTCTTGTCGCCAGGCATTCTCTCCCTTCCCACAACACATGCAGAACATCACGACAAAATTCTTTGTGTAAAAACTCCAGCATGTCTTGGAATTTTGGCTGTGACCCCAGGCTTTCAAAGCTCAAAAAATATCAAGCAGAGGATGTGGCTGGGCCCTCAAAAAGTGAAGAATATGAGAACAAAACAGAGTCATTAAATACAATGCCAGCTGCTGCTGCTGCTTGTTTAGGCATCTCTTATTATTAAATCGCTCTAGTAGCAACTGGTGTGCTGCATTTGTTACCTCAATTGTTCACAGGCATTGGATAGAGTCATTCCAACCAGCCTAAGAGCAGAAAGCTAACAAGGAAAAAGGAACTTGGGCCAATGTGGTTGCAGTCCTTAAACACACGTCTCCCTGAGCAAGTGGAATTGAATTCGGTGGAATTTACTGCTGGTTTCTCGTGTACATAGAATGAAAATGCATAGTTTCCAGAACTTTTCCCAAAACTTCTTCATTTCAATTTCACTTGCCTGTGACATACCCTTCATGTAGTTCAGGTTCAAAGAAACCTTTAAAAGTGTGCTTTATTTGGGAAAATCATTCTTAATTATTACTTTTATACAGGGCTTTTTTTTTTTTTAAGCTAGAACTTGCTGGAACTCTGTTCTGGCTATTTTCAGGTGGGTACCAGTGCCACTGTAAAACTACAAGGGAGGCATTCCTGGTGTGTTCCGGCACCTCTTTTTCTAGAAAAATAGCATTGCTTTTATAGATTAATTTAGAAGGCATCATAGAACAGAAGAGACTCGGGTTGAAGTTCAGCCATGATTTTATTTCCTTTATTTATGTACACTCTCAGACACAAGCCCCTACAAGGCACCCTCCTGTTCTGCCCCACCCAAAGTCTCCTGCCCACTGGACAACTCAGCTCTTCACTTGCTACATTAATGGGACTCAGCCCTTTGCCTGGGACACTAAATAGGGTTGCCCTCTGTTATTGCTGCTCACTGAGCCCCAAGCTATTGCATTAAGGCAGAACTGGAACATCGTGGGCTACTTGGGTGGGGGCAAAGAGCATTTCTTAAACTTAATATATAGATGATACGGCTGTTATGACAGAGATAGGACAGTGCCAAGTCTTAAAATTAATTCTGAGAATTAATTTCTTAATGCAGTCCCTAAACTAACAACAACTCAAGCAATGGTGTTGCCAAGATGTGCTAGGATGTTTAAATATTTGGGCTTCTACATCCCAAAGCAAAAGGCAAAGTTTTGTCAGTGACTTTGAGGTTTATTTCTTATTATAATCAAACAATATATAAATTTTATGAAATAAACATGCATTAAATTGATACCTTGCAAAGAATTAGAATGGATTAAAAAATATGGTTCAGGGGTGGGGCAGAAATCTGTTCTGGGGAGAATTTTCTCAGCACATATGAAAATCAGTCTGACATTTCACGTGCTCCTTAACCCTTTTTCCAGCACTGCTAAAGAAGTCTACTCAGCCCCTTAAGTGGGTGCTGTTGCAGGCCAGTGGGCATCTTCATGAAGGGCCTGAGTAAACCAGGGGTCATTTTTGTCACTTTTGTGATGAAGTGTAAATGGTAAAGGTACCCCTGACCGTTAGGTCCAGTCGCGGACGACTCT